CTGAAGTCCCAAAGAGAGAATAAGGCAAGAAAGAAATAGCAACCAAGAATTTCCCAAATTCAGAACAGGACATAAATTTATAGATTCTAGAAGTTAAATGAACCCCACACAGAATAAATACAAATAATACCATCCTTAGATATAGTTACCATATGACATAGCAATCCCATTCTTTGTTATCTACCCTAATGAAAGCTGACATTCACACAAAAACCTTTATTTGTATAATAGCAGCTTTATTCATAATTATAAAAAAAAAAACTAAAATGTCCTTAAACAGATGAACAGACACACAAACAGTGATAAATCCATACAATGAATACTACTCAGTAATAAGAAAAAAAGAACTATAGACCGTGGCTCAGGCTTGAATCCCAACACTCTGGAATTTGAGGTGGGAGGACTGCTTGAACCCAAGAGTCCGAGATCAGCCTGGGCAACATGGTGAAAGCCCATCTCTACAAAAAAATATTAAAACATTAGTTGGGCAAGGTGGCACATGCCTATAGTCCTAGCTACTCAGGAGGCTGAGGTAGGAGCATCGCTTGAGCCTGGGAGGTGGAGGCTGCAGTGAGCCAAGCTGAGATGGCACCACTGTACTCCAGCCTGGGCAACAGAGAGAAGCTGTCTCAAGAAAAAAAAAATAAACTGTGCAAGAACTTGGGACTTGGATGTATATCAAAGTCATTAAGCTGAGTTAAAAAAGCCAATTGCAAAAAGTTACATACTGTAGGATTCCATTTACAAACTTTTCTCCTCCTTTGAGATAGGGACTCACTCTGTCGCCAAGGCAGGAGTACAGTGGCACAATCTCGGCTCACTGCAACCTCTGCCTTCCAGGCTCAAACAATCCTCCCTCCCACCTCAGCCTCCTGAGTAGCTGGGAGGCTAATTTTTTATAGTTTTTAAATTTTTTTACAGAGATGGGGTCTTGCTATGCTGCCCAGACTGGTCTCAAACTCCCAGACTCAAGCAATCTGCTCAACTCAGCCTCCCAAAGTGCTGGGATTACATGCATGAGTCACCGCACCTGACCTATAAACATCCTTAAAACAACACATGAGGTCACGCATGGTGGCTCAGCCTGTAACCCCAGCACTTTGGGAGGCTGAGGTGGGTGGATCACCTGAGGTCAGGAGTTCGAGATTACCCTGACCAACATGGCGACAATCTGTCTCTACTAAAAATATAAAAATCAGTGAGACAAGGTGGCGCACGCCTGTAATTCTAGCTACTTGGGAGGCTGAGGCAGGAGAATCGTTTGAACGCGGGAGGTGGAGGTTGCAGTGAGCCGAGATGGCGTCATTGCACTATAGCCTGGGCAACAAGAGCAAAACTCTGTCTCAAAAAAAAAAAAAAAAGAACACATGAGTGATTGCCAGCAGTTATGGATGGGGAAAGATACCTTTACAGGGACAAGATGAGGGGGTTTTTTAGGAAGTGATGGAACTGTTCTGCAACCTGATTATGGTGTATTCTGTGGGATGTGGCTAAAGCAACCAAAATACTGGAAGCAGCCCCCAAACCCAGTGCCCAACAGAAATGACTACACTGTGGCACAGTCATATAATAAAATGTTATTCAGCAATAAAAGGGGAGGAACTACTGATACATGCAACAACACAGATCAATCTCAAAAGGCATATGATAAAAGAAACCTTACATAAATAATAATGCATTATATATGATTCCATTTATCTATAACTCTAAGAGGTAAAAAAAAAAACTAATCCATGTTGAAAAAATTTGTTTAAAGTATTTGACTCAGGCTGGGTGCAGGAGCTCACGGCTGTAACCCCAGCACTGTGGAAGGCTGAGGTAGGCGGATCACTTGAGGTCAGGAGTTCGAGACCATCCTGGCCAACATGGTGAAATCCCATCTCTACTAAAAACAAAAATTAGGCAGGCATGGTGGTACATGCCTGTAGTCTCAGCTACCCAGGAGGCTGAGGCAGGAGAATCACTTACACCCAGGAGGTGGAGGTTGCAGTGAGCCTAGATCGTGCCACTGCACTCCAGCCTAGGCAACAGAGTGAGATTCCATCTAAAAAAAATAAAAGTTGTTGACTCTAGAGGGGCAGGGACAGAGATAAACTGAGCGAAATTTCTTAGATGGTTTTTTGGTTTGTTTTTAAGAGAGAGAGTCTCACTATGTTGCCCAGACTGGCCTCGAACTCCTAGACTCAAGCAATCCTTCTGCCTCGTCTCCTGAGTAGCTGGGACTACAGGCATGCAACACTGTGCCCAGATTAGGTTTTTTGTTTGTTTTTTTTTTTCTTAAGATGGAGTGTCGCTTTTGTTGCCCAGGCCAGAGTGCAACGGTGCAAACTTTGCTTACTGCAACCTCTACCTCCCAGGATTAAGCGATTCTCCTGCCTCCTGAGTGGCTGGGATTACAGGTATCCGCCACCATGCCTGGCTAATTTTTGTATTTTTAGTAGAGACAGGGTTTCACCATGTTGGCCAGGCTGGTCCCAAACTCCTGAGCTCAAGTGATCCACCTGCCTCAATCTCCCAAAGCGCTGGGATTACAGGCGTGAGCCACTGCACCCGGCTGGCTTTTTTTTTTTTTAATATTCACAAATTTTGCTATAGTCCCAGCTACCTAGGAGGCTGAGGAGGGATGATCGCTTGAGCCCAGAAGTTCAACACCAGACTGGGCAGCACAGGGAGACTCTGTCTCAGAAAAAAAAAAAACCAAAAAACGAAACAAGTTTTGAACTAGTGTTAACGATATGCATATTGACATGAAATGTCACAACCTGATCTCCAATTTATTTGAAATGTGTGAAAAACTAAGAAAAATTGATGTGAGGGTAGACAATGAATAGTAGCTAAAAAATTGATAAACAAATATAGTCATCACTCAGTATCCTCAGGGGATTGGTTCCAGGGCCCCTGGCACATACCAAAATCCTAGGACGCTCAAGTCCCTTATATAAAATGGAATAGTATGCCCATATCATCTACATCCTCCTGAAAACTTTAAAAAACTCTAGATTACTTAAAACCATCTATTATAGTGTAAATGCTATGTATTAATAGTTTTTATACTGTACTGTTTAGGGAACAATGACAAGAAGAATAGATTTTGTGTATGTTCAGGATGGACACATTTTTTCCCAAATATTTTCAATCTGCAGTCTATGGACACGAAGGGCTGGTTGTATATATACACAATGGAATATTATTCAGCCTTACAAAGAAAATCTGACAAATGCCACAATACAGATGAACCTTGAAAGCAATTTGCTAAGTGAAAAAGACCAGTCACAAAAAGACATAGAATGTATGATTCTACTTATAGGAGGCACCCAGAAGAGGCAAATGCATAGAGACAGAAAGCAGAATAGAGGTTATGAGCAACTGCTTAGGGATGGGGAAAGAAATTTGTTACTTAAAATAGTACTGTTTCTATTCAGCGTGATTAAAACATTCTGGAAATAGATAGTAGTGAAGGTTATAGCATTGTGAATGTACTTAATGTCACTGAATTATATACAAAAAATGGTACACTCTAAGGCCGGGCGTGGTGGTTCACACCTGTAATCCCAGCACTTTGGGAGGCCAAGGCAGGCGGATCATCTGAGGTCAGGAGTTCAAGAACAGCCTGGCTGACATGACGAAACCCTGTTTCTACTAAAACACACACAAAAAATTAGTCAGGCATGATGGCATGAGCCTATAGTCCCAGCAACTCGGGAGGCTGAGGCACAAGAACTGCTTGAACCCAGGAGGCAGGAGACGGAGGCTGTAGTGAGCTGATATCGCACCACTGCACTCCAGTCTGGGTGACAGAGCAAAACCCTGTCTCAAACAAACAAACAACAACCAAAAAAAATGGTGGGTGGGGGCGGGGACATTCTATGCAGTGAATATTTACCACAAAAAAAGAGTCATTTTTGGGCCGGGCGTGGTGGCTCACACCTGTAATCCCAGCATTTTTGGGAGACCAAGGTGGGCGGATCACCTGAGGTTGGGAGTTCAAGACCAGCCTGACCAACATCGAGAAACCCCGTCCCTTACTAAAAATACAAAATTAGCCAGGCATGGTAGTACATGCCTGTAATCCCACCTACTGGGGAGGCTGAGGCAGGAGAATCACTTGAACCTGGGAGGCGGAGGTTGCAGTGAGCCAGGATTGAGCCATCCACCCACCTCAACCTCCCAAAGGGCTGGAATTACAGGCATGAGCCACCGTGCCCAGCTGGTCTCTATCTCTTGACATTGTGATCCGCCCGCCTCAGTCTCCCAAAGTTCTGGGATTACAGGTGTGAGCCACTTCACCTGGTTTTTTTGTTTTTGTTATTTTTTGCAGAGACAGAGTCTCACTCTGTTGCCCAGGCTGGAGTGCAGTGGCATGATCTCAGTTCACTGCAACTTCCGCCTCCCAGGTTCAAGCAGTTCTCCTGCCTCAGCCTCCCAAGTAGCTGGGATTATAGGCACGTGCCACCATGCCCAGCTAAGTTCTGTATTTTTAGTAGACACACAGTTTTGCCAGGTTGGCCAGGCTGGTCTCCAACTCCTGACCTCAGGTGATCCGCCCACCTCAGCCTCCCTAAGTGCTAGGATTACAGGTGTGAGTCACCATGCCTGGTCTGTGTTTTGTGTTCTAGTTCCACACATATGTAACAATAGCAATATCACAAGAAATTAAAATGTTACTTTGAAATTTCAATAAAAGCTCTTTAAAGTGAATCATGAAAACCTACAGATAGCATGTGCAATGGAAAGGGTGTAACAGAGAAAATTTAAATTCAATTCCTCCATAGTCAATAAATGGTGATGGAACTTGGTCAAACCAAAGTATGCCTGTATGATTTTCTTTCTCTTAGATGGGGCAATAATAATACTTACTCCCACAGAGCACTTTTGAGTAAAAACTGATATAAAATTTAGTTCTGAATTATAGAGAACAAAGTAAATATCACTGAGAACACAGCACAATGCTCGGCAAGTACTTAATAGATACTTTATGTGTGAATCAAGTGAATAATTACCTCCATGAAGAGACATGCAAGGATAAGATGCTCTCATTAAATCCTTTAGAAGACCATCAGCATGTTCCTGCTTATCCACAAATATAATGACAGATCCTGACTCTTGATAATGGCCTAGAAGCTCAAGTAACTTCAAGAATTTCTTTTCTTCTTCAATCACAATCTGAAAACACCATATTGTACCAAGTTAATGGAGTGAAAATGCAAATGGATCCCTGGGACAGAAATATTCATTTTATTTGTGGTGAATGAATAAACGAAAATATCTTGCTATATCTTTACCAAGGGCTAGGAAGACATTGATTTTAATTGTAAACAATAAAAAAAAAATTGTAAACTTTCAGGGTTTAACAGGCTTGCAAATGTGGGCAAATGATCATCTGTTCTCTCTGGCTCTTAATTTCATATCCTAGTAACCAAGAGATAAAATAGGTATGTGACATTTCTTTTCCCTTTGTAGGGACAGAGGTCTCGCTATATTGCCCAAGCTAGTCTCCAGCTCCTGGCCTCAAGTGATCCTCCTACCGTGGTCTCCTAAAATAGTGGGATTACAGGCATGAGTCACCACGCCCATCTGGTATGTGACATTTCTATATATCGGCTCACCACTCACCACTTTTGATGAGAGAAACTAAAATGACATTTTATTTTATGTCTTTAAAGAGACAGAGCTCACTATGGCTAGGGTGCTATTCACAAATGTGATCCAGCTATGATAAGCAAGAAAGTTTTGACGTGTTCTGTTTTTCTGCCCTGGGTAGAATATCTCATTCTTTAGGCAATCTGGTGGTCCCCTGTTACCAGGAGGTCACCACACTGATGCTGAACGTAGTATGGACAAAGATATGCATAGTGCACTACAGTCCGGAACTACAGGGACTGAAAAGCTGCAACTTCAGGCATGCACCACCGCACCCAGCAAAAAAAAAAAAAAGAGCATTTTAAATAGTTGCATGGAACAGCATAGTTAAGTGTATCTGGTAAAATACTGAAGGCTACAGTAGTGGTATACGACTTCATTTTAGAAATTATCTTGCCTACCTCACACACAGTGATCCCAAAAGGATCACACATACTACCTAAGTATCAACGAAACTGGGAATTTCCTAAAGATGGTACCCACCACTTGTTGCTCCACATCCGAGCAAACCACACTCCTGCCTCCAACTTGTACTTCAATAGGTTTACTCAGGATCCTGCGAGCCAAAGCCTCCATAGCTCTGGGGAAAGTAGCTGAAAACATAACCGTCTGTCGATCAGGACGAACATTATCCACGATGCGCATGACCTGAGAAAAAGAAAACATTACAAATAAACATGGTAAATAGGGTCTTCAAAGCTTACGCAAGGTTAAAACCAAGTAAAAGGAACTTTTGAGAACAACTATCTCAGTTTTGCCACTCCCACAGTCTTTCAATCTCAAGAAACGACAACTCCATACATGCTTAGGCCAAAAATCTAGGAGACATCTTTGATTAATCTCTGTCGCTCATCCTACAACCAATCCATCAACAAATGTAGTGGTCTCTCTTCAAATTATATCTAGGATACAACCCACTACCACTGTTTCCCTTCATTTATTCAACACGTTTTTATTAAAGAACCATCTTGAACCAGGTACTGTTCTAAGTACTAGGAATATGCAATAAAAACAGACAAAAAGAGGAGGATTCTGGGAAGCTGGCAGAGCAGGAATCACCAGGAATCTGTATCCACACCTAGACAACAGCTGTGCTGGTAGAATCTGTCTGATGTAACCACTTTGGAATTCTGTAATCTACAGAAGGTTTGCAACTTCCTGGGAAAAGCCTGGAAGATAAATTGTGGCTGTTTTCCGCCATTTTCAGCTCTTAGCACAGTAGCAGTTAACCATCCCCCACAAACAGCCCCACAGCAGGCAGGCATGCACATTTCTGAAGCAAACTGTACAGAGCTTGCAAGAGCCAGGGTGGTCAAGAAGGACTCTGTCCTCCAAATATGGAGGATCTCTGCTCTGATTGTTACTTCTGATCACAGAGGTTAAGACAAAGAGACATTGGCTGTTATTGTTGCATTCACACCCTGCAAACCACTGCAAGTACGGACCCCTCAAGCTGAAGTGACTACCAGGGGTTTTAAAATCTGATGCCCCTTCCCTCTGCCTTAATTTTTCTCCTTTTGAGAGCCAAAAATTAAATACTAGGAGATTAAAAAACAAATGAATATCCAAAGAAATTTACAAAGTAACCACACATACAGAATGCCACAGGCTCAGAAAACACATGAAATGACCTTAAGTGTACAACTCAGGGCAATCCTAGCCACAGACCACCTACGACAATCAAATACAAAAATAATAAACAATAACAGTAATAAAAAACAGTAAACCCTAGGGAAAGGGGAGAATCTGATTCCCAAGTTACCACATTACTAGATTCAAATGTCTAATTTTCAGGCTGGGTGTGGTGACTCAGGCCTGAAATCCCAGCACTTTGGGAGGTCAAGGCAGGCGGATCACTTGAGCTCAGGAGTTAGAGGCCAACCTGGCCAACATGGTGAAACCCTGTCTCTACTAAAAACACAAAAATTAGCCAGGCGTGGTGGCATACGCCTATAATCCCAGCTACTCAGGAGGGTGAGGCAGGAGAACCACTTGAACCTGGGAGGTGGAGGTTACAGTGAGCCACTGCACTCCAGCCTGGGCTACAGAGTGAAACTGTCTCAAAATAAATAAATAAATAAAAATAATTCCCAATTCTCACTATTTTCTTCAGTATATAATCATGCCTGGAAGCACACTACTGCTTGCCAACTCTTCTCTAGGCAGAAGTCAGTGTGCAGCTTTCATCTATGAAGCTCACAAAATAATCACAAACTAAATCGAGATTTTCCTCTTTTTTCTTGAGACACGGTCTCACTCTGTCACCCAGGCTGGAGTGCAGAGACATTACATTGACTCACCACAGCCTCTATCTCCCAGGCTCAAGCAATTCTGCTACTTCAGCCTCCTGAGTAGCTGGGACTATAGGCGCATGCTCCCACATCCAGCTAATTTTTATGTATTGAACATAAATACATGAGAGAATGCTGAATTAATCATTTATTTTGTTTATATGTATTTATGTATCTGTATGTATGGCAAGGAATGATTCACACTTTGCCTTTCAATGGAAAAAGTTGTTTTGAACTCACTCTATAAGAACCTGGTTTACCAGAAGGTCCCTATCAATCACTCTTATCTACTTAAAGCATTATAATAAAATCTAAGATTTCACATGACTGGGAAAGACATTGAAAGGCACGTGACTCTCATCCATCTGATACTTCAATTCTCTTTACTCTCTTTCCACAAACAGACCCCTTGCCTCTGCTTGAATATCTGGAAGAAACAGATATTCAGTATCATATCAGCCCCCGCTTCCTCATGAAGCAATGTTTCATCTCCAAATAATGTTTATCCAGTCCTTCCTCAAACTAAACTCAGATCAAGCTCCATATGACTTCCCCACTGGATCCCATTTGTACTCCTTGGGACCAAAAAAATAAATTCAATGTTGCTTTCATGTAACACTTGTTCAGAGTTAAAGGATGCTATCATATCTTCTACCTAAAGCTGATTATTATTATTATTTATATTATCATTTTTTGAGACAAAGTCTAGCTCTGTCGCCCAGGCTTTAAGTGCAGTAATGCGATCTTGGCTCACTGCACCCTGTGCCTCCCAGGTTCATGTGAGACTCCTGCCTCAGCCTCCCAAGTAGCTGGGATTACAGGCGTCCATCACCATGTCCAACTAATTTTTGTATTTTCAGTAGAGACAGGGTTTCACCATGTTGGCCAGGCTAGTCTGATCTCCTGACTTCAAGTGTTCTGCCTGCCTTGGCCTCCCAAAGTGCTGAGATTAAAGGCATGAGCCACCATGCCCCGCCCAAAGCTGAGTATCATTTTAACTGTTTCTCATATGGCTCAAGCATTACCATAATCCTGCTTCTTCTGTGTTCTTCTATTTACATCTCATTTAGAATGCAGTCCTTAAATCTAAACACAATACATGCACTATCATATAACAGGCAATAAATTTTTGGAGAGTACATGGATAAACTGAAAAGGCTAAATATGACATTTGCCTTATCCCTTTTCTATGCACATTTCCATTACTGTGGTCTCTTATAACCCTTTTTTATTTATTTTTTGGCAACTACAGCCTACTGACAATTCACAATGCTCTTCTTAAGAAAACTTTCTACCACCTTTAAAATGTGTTCCTATAAATCTGTATCACTGAAATTTTGCACCTGAGCAAACAGCATATATAAGGAATATAAAAACCTAGGCTAGACAAATTCTTTAGGCCATTATCTTAGTAAAAGTGAATGACTTTGATAAATGTAAATAACGTGCTATCTAGACTAGATAATGAGGTATTTAAAAGCATGATTTAAAAGAATTTATTTAAAAAGACAATGGGCTGGGCGTAGTGGCTCACGCCTGTAATCCCAACACTTTGGGAGGCAAGGTGGGTGGATCACCTGAGGTCAGGAGTTCGAGACCAGCCTGGCCAACATGGTGAAACTCCATCTCTACTAAAAACACAAAAGTTAGCCAGGCGTGGTGGTGGGCACCTGTAGTCCCAGCTACTTGGGAGGCTGCGGCGGGAGAATCGCTTGAATCCAGGAGGCAGAGGTTGCCATGACTGGTGATCACTCTCCACTGCACTCTAGCCTGGGCGACAGAGCAAGACTCCATCTCAAAAAAATAAAATAAGGCTTAAGGTCTATTATTAGCACTCCAATTCTAGTTTAACTGGTGTTGGTCTTACATGGCTAAGAAATGCCAGTATAAACACCTCCTGAAGAAGTTTTATGAGGAATCTGAAACATAAATGTGTGCTTCAATACTGTATGTCCCCAGTCTTCTGTATTACCATGCAACAGAAAAGTGTGTGTGTGAATTTCAGAAACCACATGAACATTCCATTCTCATGGCAGCTACAAGGTTATATTTACATTTCAAAACACTTAAGAAATGTAATGATTACCTGGGGTTCAAAACCCATATCAAACATTCTGTCTGCTTCATCTAAAACAACATATGTCACTCTTCGAAGATTTGTGACCCGACCTAAGATGAGAAGAAAAATAAAGACAAAAAGAAAACTAAAAATCAGTCCCAATTCATTTTATGGCTACCAAGAACTTTTAAAAACTGTAAAGGAAACTAAAATGCCTGACTTAACCAGAGGGGTAAGTTAGGTATCTTTAAAAAGTGAAAAGAAATTTTGATCTAAAATGTCTTAATCTAGTGACAAATACTTTCTGACAATGGGTATATGAGGCCCTTTATTTTGTCAAACTCGTCTCTTGCATACCATCATAGGGCCTGAAGAACCTGTAAAATTCAGAAAACAGCCCTCTCCAAAACACATCATAAAACTAAGACTGAGATGAAGCATCGAGCCACATCAGCCATTATCTGACAGCATCACCTAGAAAAAAACATATTAGAGATTACAGCGTATGTGTGGAAAGCAAGTTCTAGTGCTATTTTAGACACAGAAAATGCCTCTCTATATTATTTTATAACCTTCTTCATATATTTAGAAGCTTCTTAAATGCGCATGTCAAACCCTTAATGAGAAGCTATTTGACAGCATTAGGAAACTAATGTAACACATAGAAACTTTAAATACCAAAACACATTACATAAACACATTTTCCATACAAAGATATAAATCCCAATTTTATTAAGTGAACCCACTGACTTAAATAAATGCCAACTGGCTTCCTAATCAGTGAAAACAAAATACATACACAGGAAACCTCTTCTAAAATACTAACACAAGCATTGCTATCAACTGTTGAATCAATCTCCTGGCAAAAACATGTACAAAAAATTATTTAAAAATAGACCAAAATGACAGATAAGAGAAAAAGGTAAAATTAATCAAGATGAATTTCAGGAGGAGACTTAATGCAGCATTGAGAAAAAAAAAAACAAGGGATTATTTAATCAGCATTCAAATCAAAACTTTCCATATGCTAGACAAGCACAAAGACTTCTCAAACAATTTTGATGTCACTTTGCCAACTTCATGTACAATTAGAATTAAGTTCATACAGAAATTCAAGCAGAATACTATTAGAAACATGCACTAACTCACAGTTTTTAACACTCTATTATGTACATACTGAATATTGCAATAGAAACCTCTGAGAACATTTTCTTCAAAAAATAAAAAGTGCCAAAATAAGTGCTATCTAATATTTAAGTATTCCACACTAGCATTTGTAGCCCCAATTAGTTTTGCAAGGTCGGGAACAGCATTAAATTACCTACCTTTGATGGTTTAAGTCTCGGAAGCCCAGTTCTATAAATCTTGAAGGGCCTTTCTCCACAGAAGTTAAATAATGTCAACAGTTTAGTAAGAGTTTTGATAGGGAATAATTTAACAAAGCATAACATTTGAGCTACAAACATGCAATATTTACAAAAGATAAAATTTCTTGAAGCTGCAATATCTTAATTTATGTAGTATTGTAAGAAAATACTAGCTCATGTGGAGAAAAAGTCTAAATTTTGTAATAAAGAAAAGGCTACTACCCTATTCTTTTACTAAGCAAAGCCAGGCCAAAAATGGATTAAGAATCCAAGTTATGATCCAAAGGAGTTACTTCTGAAAAAAATTTTTAAATTGCAAAAATATCATTAATGTTTATAATAATCAATTTGTTCCAATACAAGTTTTTTGTTTTTTTTTGGTTTTTTTTTTTTGAGACGGACTCTCGCTCTGCCACCCAGGCTGTAGTACAGTGGGGTGATCTTGGCACACTGCAAGCTCCGCCTCCCGGGTTCAAGCTATTCTCCTGCCTCAGCCTCCCAAGTAGCTGGGACTACAGGCTACAAATTTTAAGATACTGCAACTTTAAGAAGAAATATAGAAACCCTTTGTTGGTTTCTTGCATCTGTTTTAACAAAAAAATGTAAAGAATTCAAAAAGGAAAGACACCAAAAAAATACCCCTGACTTACCACTGTTAGCCGCTAACATGTCAATCATTCGACCAGGTGTGCAAACAATAATTTCAGCACCTCTTTTCAGCTCAGCAATCTAATAAAAAAGATGAAACTTAATAGTCTATCACTAATGCTTACTTAAACACTAAAAAATATTACATTTAGTTCTTGCCTAGTCTGGTAAGAAGACTTCAAAGCCTCCTGCCTAATTATTTTGAATCTCAGGGCACTACTAAAGAAACAGCAACGGGGCCGGGCGCGGTGGCTCAAGCCTGTAATCCCAGCACTTTGGGAGGCCGAGACAGGCGGATCACGAGGTCAGGAGATCGAGACCATCCTGGGTAACCCGGTGAAACCCCGTCTCTACTAAAAAAATACAAAAAAACTAGCCGGGCGAGGTGGCGGGCGCCTGTAGTCCCAGCTACTCGGGAGGCTGAGGCAGGAGAATGGCGTGAACCCGGGAGGCGGAGCTTGCAGTGAGCAGAGATCCGGCCACTGCACTCCAGCCTGGGCGACAGAGTGAGACTCTGTCTCAAAAAAAAAAAAAAAAAAAAGAAACAGCAACGGCCAGACGCGGTGGCTCACGCCTGTAATCCTAGCACTTTGGGAGGCTGAGGTGGGCAGATCACGAGTTCAGGAGATCAGATCCTGGCTAACACAGTGAAACCCCGTCTCTACTAAAAATACAAAAAATTAGCCGGGCGTGGTGGCAGGTGCCTGTAGTCCCAGCTACTCGGGAGGTTGAGGCAGGAGAATGGGGTGAACCCAAGAGGCGGAGCTTGCAGTGAGGTGAGATCGCAGCACTGCACTCCAGCCTGGGTGAAAGTGTGAGACTCCGTCTCAAAAAAAAAAAAAAAAGAAAAAAAGAAAAAAACAGCAACAACGTGACCACATAGTGCCATAAATTTGAAACAAATAAAAACTAGAGAATTTTGTAAATTTGATTTGCCACTATCCCTCAAAACCAAGAAAAAAACTTAAGAAAGCAGTTTAAAAAAAAAAAGTGATCATCTTTGAGCCCAGGAGTTCAAGGTTGCAGTGAGCTATGATCACATCCTTGCACTTCAGCCTGAGCAAGAGCGAGACCTTGTCTCAGAAAAAGAAATTTCGAAGTGACCACATAGACGAGCGTTTTTCAAATTGAGGATTGCCACATTAGTGAATCATTAAATCCTTTAACAGTCATAATCAGCTTTTTTTTTTTTTTTTTGAGACAGGGTCTCATTCTGTTGCGCAGGCTCTGTTGTCCAGTGCAGCAGTGTCATCATAGCTCACTGCAGCCTAGATCCTGGGCTCAAGAGATGATCACTTTTTTTAAAAAACTGCTTTCTTAAGTTCGTTTCTTGATTTTGAGGGATAGTGGCAAATCAAATTTGCAAACTTCTCTACTTAGCCACTGGCTAGGACTACAGGCACTCGCTAATTTATTTACTGTTTTAAGAGATGGGGTCTCACTATATTGCCCAGGCTGGTCGCAAACTCCTGGACTCAAGTGATTCTCCCATTTCAGCCTCCCAAAGTGCTGTGATGATTACAAGTATGAGCCATAGTGCTCAATCACAACCAGCATTTTTTAAACGAAATGGAATGCAAAATACCGTAAGTCCCTTAACATCATAAAACTTTTGTTTGGCATTTATATAAATACAATGTGCAAGCATGTACCATGTTGTTTTGTAAGTATATTTCTACAAGTTATAGTCATGAAAAATCATAAACTTAGAAAATGAAGTTCAAGTAATTAAAATAGCACTGGAGTTAACAAAAGCAAATATTCTTGAAGTGTGTTCTTGTTGTAACAAGAGTCCTAAGAAACAGTTTTGTAGTTAAGTTCAGAAAATGACAATTTATCCCATTTATCTAGCAACACGATACACATTAGCTTATTAAGAACTAAGAAGTCTTACAGGAAAGAAACTGGTTTTAACTTTTTATACTCCAACGTTTCCAAAACTTATCCAACCACAGAACCTACTTTTTTGCCTTCTTCTACTCAGGCAAAATATCTGAAAACTATTTCATTCTTTAGAAGACAACTGAAGGGATGGTCATAGTGGCTCACGAGGGAAGCCGAGGCAAGCAGATTGCTTGAGCCCAGGAATTCGAGACTAGCCTGGGCAACATGGCAAAAACCTCATCTCTACAAAAAAATACAAAAATTAGCTGGGTGTGGTGGCATGCATCTGTGGTCCCAGCCACTCAGGAGGCTGAGGAGGAAGGACTGCTTGAGCCCAGGAGGTCACAGACGCAGTGAGCCAAGGTCACACCACTGCACTCCAGCCTGGACAACAGAGCAAGATGCTGTCTCAAATAAAACAGAACAAAAAAAAAAGAAGAAAAAACACCTCTGATATTAATGCATCCCAGTAATCAGCATCACTTTCTCCCCCCGAAGATGGAGTCTTGCTGTCTCCCAGGCTGGAGCGCAGTGGCGTGATCTCAGCTTACCACAACCTCTGCCTCCCAGGTTCAAGTGATTCTCCTGCCTCAACCTCCCAAGTAGCTGATATTATAGGCACGCGCCACCACACCAGGCTAATTTCTGTGTTTTTAGTAGAGACCGGGGATCTCGCCATGTTGGCTAGGCTGGTCTTGAGCTCCTCATCTCATGATCCACCTGCCTTGGCTTCCCAAAGTGCTGGGATTACAGGCGTGAGTCACCGTGCCTGGCCACCATCACTTTTTAAAGACGTCAGCATAGATTATAGAAAATAAATGCTCAGAGATCAGAGACCTAGGTTCCAGGACAAACTCTACAACGTATTAACCTAATTGGTCAACTTAATAAATCTTTCTGAATATTTCCTCATATGTAAAATAAAAAAAAAAATCTGCCTTCTCAGGCAGGGGAAGAGGGAGGAGGGATAATCTATGTAAAAATGACTCAAAAATTCTAATATAGTATTAACATAATATGTCCTTTTTTGTCACAACTATATTGAGTCATAATTAACAAAAATTATATATATTTAAGGTGTACAACATGTTTGATAAACATATACACTCTGAAATGATGACCACAATCAAGCTAACATATCCCCTTACATAGTTACCAATATTTTCTTTTGTGGTAAGAACATTTAAGATCGGTTTGGCGCAGTGGCTCACGCCTATAATCCCAGCACTTTGGGAGGTCAAGGCAGGAGGACCACTTGAAGTCAGGAGTTCAAGACCAATCTGGCCAATATGGTGAAACCCCATCTCTACTAAAAATACAAAAATTAGCCAGGCAAGGTGGTGGGCACCTGTAGTCCCAGCAACTTGGGAGGCTGAGGTAGGAGAATCGCTTGAACCGGGGAGGCGGAGGTTGCAGTGAGCCAAGATTGTGCCACTGCACTCCAGCCTGGGTGACAGGGCGAGACTCCACCCCAAAACGAAAAAAAAAAAGAACATGATGTGAGATCTACTGACTTACCAAATTCTTCAGCATACAATATAATATTAACTAGTCACCATGCTGTATGTTACATCTCCAAAGGTATTCATCCTGCATGAAATAACTAATTCTTACTATTATTTTTATACCTCATTTTTAAAATGATTTTAGAAGCAATCACTATTCAAAAAACTAAAAGTAAAAGTCACTCTTTTACTTTATTGAATCTTCCAACTTGAGAAAAGAATGGAAAACATGAATATTTCTTATGTAACTACCTGCTCACTGATTCCTGTTCCTCCATAAACACAGACCACTCTAAGTCCCAAAGTCTTGGAAAACTTCTTACACTCTTTAGTAATCTGTAAAGCCAGTTCTCGAGTTGGAGTCATGATGACAGCTGGAAAGATAAATACATCAGTAGCCTAACCACCAAAATTCTTAAGGCTATGCTTTAAAGTATTCAATTTCACCTCTACAATAAAGTTCAGATTGTTTCACCTAATTTTTTTTGTTATGCATCTCTGAAAACTATTTCAAAAGTTGTATAACAGCAGAGGTTGTGGGGAAGGATAAGTATAAGCAGAGTTTAAAAACATGCTAAAAGAAGAAAAATGACAGTTAAATGCCTCATCCAACCCTCAGGAAAACAAATACTTGGTTCAATAGAACGCAAATAGTTTTCTAATGCAAATCACAGAACAAAGAAAATCAAGTGACTCACTGTGCCACAGAAGCCATACTGCTGCTTCCAGAAACAACCTTGGTCTGAGGGGCACAGACGGAGGAGAGAGATACTATGCCCCGTGTTCCTAAGAGAAAAGCTGAACAACTTTCCAAAACCCTATTCAACTTTGCAAGAGTTATCTCTGCCAAGATGAATCAAGAAACCAGAATCTAAACAACTAATCTTGAATGAAATGCTGGCATTATAGCCTGTTAAGGCCAAAAACTACCTAGGAAAATATGTTTCCCTAGTATCTTCCATGTTGCCTTTACATATCTATTGATACTAGGCTAACAAACCTCAATATACATAAACAGATGCACGAGGAGTCTACCTGCCAAGTCAGAGTTTAAAAACTGAGCTGTGCCAGGAGGGGCTGTTTTTGTACTTCTGAGATGTCACTCCAGAGCTCTGAAGATTCTCACTCCACCTGCTGGTAAGGGGAAATCAGCCCCAAAGTGCCAAATTGATAAAGAAAATGTACATAAAGACATCTTCACTGTCATAATTAAGAACATTATAAACTATAAGGTCTTTCTGTTTGACAACAAAGCTGTTATTTGAAAAATAGTTTAATGAAAACAACTGTACCTATTGGCCCCTCTCCTTCTTCTAATGACCTCTGATCCATGATGTGTCTAAACATGGGCAACAGAAAAGCAATGGTCTTTCCACTTCCTGTTTTGGCAATGCCAATCAAATCTCGTCCAGACATTATAGCAGGAATAGCTTGGGTTTGGATGGGCGTGGGCTTTTCATAGCCATGCCTTAAAAAGAAAACCAAACGAAGATAAGGTAAGAATTGAGATTGCTGGGCCCCAAAGAGGTCCCATGTGTTCCCATAAAAATAAACTTTCAAAAGGCTGTATATATTCATACAATAAAATACTATTTGGCAATAAAAAGGAATGAAGTACTAACACATTCTACAATATGGACTAACCTTGACAACATTATGTAAAGTGAAAAAGGTCCGTCACTAAAGACAAAAATTGTTTGATCCCATTTACATGAAATGTTAGGAATAGCCAAATCTATTCTAGGGACAAAAAGTAGATTAATGGTTGCCCAGAGGTGGGGAGAGGGGAGAAGACTGACTACTAATGGACAAAAGTTTCTTTTTGGGATAATGAAAAATTTAAAAATTAGGCAGGGCGCAGTGGTTCATGACTGAAATCCCAGCATTCTGGGAGGCTGACATGGGAGAATCATTTGGGGCCAGCAGTTCAAGACCAGCCTGGTCAAAAGAGTGACATCCCATCTCTTTAAAAAACAAAAAGGGGGGGGCCAGGCATGGTGGTTCATGCTGTAATCCCAGCACTTTCAGAGGCCGCGGCGGGTGGATCATCTGAGGTACAGAGTCTGAGACCACCCTCACCAAAATGGAGAAACCCTGTATCTACTAAAAACACAAAATGAGCCAGGCGTGGTGGCGCATGCCTGTAATCCCACCTACTTGGGAGGCTGAGGCAAAAGAATCACTTAAACCCGAGAGGTGGAGGTTGCGGTGAGTGAGATAGAGCCAATGCACTCCAGCCTGGGCAACAAGAGTAAAATTCTGTCTCAAAAAAAAAAAAGGCTGGGCACGGTGGCTCATACCTGTAATCCTAGCACTTTGGGAGGCCGAGGCGGGCAGATCACCAGGTCAGGAGTTTGAGACCAGCCTCACATGGTGAAACCCTGTCTCTACTAAAAATACAAAAATTAGCCAGGCGTGGTGTGGCAAACACCTGTAGCCCCAGCTACCTGGGAGGCTGAGGCAGGAGAATCATTCAAACCCGGGAGGCAGAGGTTGCGGTGATCCGAGATCACACCACTGCACTCCAGCCTGGGCAACAGAGTGAGACTCTGTCTCAAAAAAAATAAATAAATAAAATCAAAAAACAAACAAAAAAAAATTCAAACAAAATTTTCAAAAATTAGACTATTGTAATGGTTGCAAAACTATAAAAATACACTTAAAAACATTAAGTTGGCTGGGCGCGGTGGCTCATGCCTGTAATCCTAGCACTTTGGGAGGCTGAGGCGGGTGGATCATGAGGTCAAGACATCAAGACCATCCTAGCCAACACGGTGAAACCCCGTCTCTATAAAAAATACAAAAATTAGCCAGGCGCAGTGGTGCACTCCTGTAATCTCAGCTACTTGGGGGACTGAGGCAGGAGAATCGCTTGCAGCTTGAACCCAGGAGGCGGAGGTTGCATTGAGCCGGGATTGCGCCACTGCACTCCAGCCTGGTGACAAAGCGAGACTTGTCTAAAAAATATATATATATATATATATATATATATATATAAGTTGCATAATTTTTTTTTTTTTTTTTTTAAGACAGAGTCTCTCTCTGTCACCAGGCTGGAGTGCAGTGCCACAATCCCAGCTCACTGCAACCTCTGACTCCAGGGTTCAAGCGATTCTCCTGCCTCAGCCTCCAAAGTAGCTAGGACTACAGGTTAGCTGGGACTATAGGCATGTGCCACCACACACAGTCAATTTTTGTATTTTTAGTAGAGACAGGGTTTCACCATGTCGGCCAGGATGGTCTCGATGTCTTAACCTCGTGATCTGCCTGTCTTGGCCTCCCAAAGTGTTGGGCTTACAGGTGTGAGACCCTGTCCCAGCCAAGTTGCATAATTTAACCAGCACTCTGGAAGGCCAAGGTAGGGGGATCACTTGAAGTCAGGAGTTTGAGATCAACTTCACCAACACGGCGAAACCCTGTCTCTATTAAAAATACAAAAATACAAAAATTGGCTGGGTGTGGTGGCGGGTACCTGTAATCCCAGCTACTTAAGAGGCTACGGCACAAGAATCGCTTGAACCCGGGATGCAGAGGTTGCAGTGAGCCGAGATCATGCCAATGCATGCCTGAGGGAAGAGGCGGGAGGCTCTGCCTCAAAAAACAAAAAAATAAATAAAAAATTTTAAAAGCCAGGCATGGTGGCTCACGCCTGTAATCCCAGCACTTTGGGAGGCTGAGGCGGGCAGATCACCTGAGGTCAGGATTTCAAGGCCAGCCTGGCCAACATGGTGAAACCTGGTCTCTACTAAAAATATTTTAAAAATTAACCAGCCGTAGTGGTGCACACCTATAGTTCAGCTACTCAGGAGGCTGAGGCAGGATAATTGCTTGAGCCCGGGTGGCTGAGGTCACAGTGAGCACAGTGAGATCGCACCACTGTACTCTACCCTGGGCAACAGAGCAAGATTCTGTCTAAAAAAAAAAAAAAAAGCAGTTGTATAATTTAAAGGGTAAATTTTCATATGTAAATTATCTCAATAAAACAATTTTTTTAAACATGTTTTTTTAGAGTAAAAATGTAACTCAGGGAGACATTGGTGTGAAAGGACTATTTTGAGCAGCAAGACACAGAAAACATAAACAACCACCAACCACTTACTTTTTGAGGGAATTTAAGATCTTCATGGAAATTCCACACTGGACCCAGGATTTAATTGGTTTGGGACAACCTTTTCCTTTAACTGTAATGCCCTCCATTTCCAATCGAAACACATTTACCTCTACAAAACAAAACCCAGATTAAAAGTTCTTAAATATTGTTCTATTGGTGTCTTCTACTTTTCAATTAGGCATAAGATTAAGAATCTTTAACTCTTATGCCAGGCCCAGTGGCTCACACCTGTAATCCTAGCAACTAGCACTTTGGGAGGCAGACGCAGGCAGATCCCTTGAACCCAGGAGTTGAAGACCAACCTGGGCAACATGGTGAAACCCTGCCTCGACAAAAAGTACAAAAATTAGCTGGGTGTGGTGGCACATGCCTGTAGTCCCAGTTACTCAGGAGGCTGACATAGGAAGATCACCTGAGCCTGTTGGGGGGATGTGGGGTGTGGTAGGAAATCAAGGCTGCAGTGAGCCATGACTGCACCACTGCACTCCAGCCTCCAGCCTGGGCAATGGAAGGAGACCCTGTCTCAAAACAAAACAAACAATTTTTTAAATGTTTGTATTTTTTTAGTAGAGACAGGGTTTCACCATATTGGCCAGGATGGTCTCGAACTACTAACCTCATGATCTGCCCGCCTAGGCCTCACAAAGTGCTGGGATTACAGGCGTGAGCCACTGCGTCCGGCCTACTTTTCCGTATTTTAGTAGACGGGGTTTCACTCTAATGCCCAGGCTGGTCTCGAACTTCTGAGCTCAAACAATGCACCCACCTCAGCCTCCCAAAGTGCTGGGATTACAGCCAACGCACCTGGCCAATTAATTTTTGATCATTTTAAAAATATTTCCAAAACATCTTCCTTCATCAGACACTATCCACATTTCTCTTGAGTAATGTGAAATGTATCCTCTTCTGTTAGTAAATGAAAAAATGGAATTTTACCTTCTTGAGACATTTTTGCTAGTTCTGGAACTTCGACATAGAAGTTTTTCCTAAATGGCTCATATTCAATTTTTCCATGATCAACTGGTTCTAGAAGCTTTCGCTGTTTTGTTTGATACCCTGTAAGGGCTGTCTGAAGATCAACTTCTTCCTCCTCTGAAGAATACTATAGTTTAAAAGAAAAAAATTAAAGAGGTAAGCTCATTACTATTTTCCTCTTGTGGGAAGCAATACTCCTAGCTTTTCAAATCTTCCTCTCCTAGAAACTACTCTAATTTTTTTACTTTCTGCAATACACTGTTTGACCCACAAGATTTTTATAGTGCTCCAGCACACTTAAACCTCTTAATTTTAAAATCACCTCAAATGATGTATGTCATCTTGAATTAGAAATACATCAAGAAGCTCCTGAAGAATTTTTCAACCTACTTTTCTTTTTCTTTGCCCTTTAGAAAGTTAAAATGCCAATATAAAGCTAAAACAGTAATGATCAGAGACGGCTCTAATAAGGTTTTGCTATCGTTTTTACTATATAAATCTTTACAATACGTGTTAATGGAAAGAAAGTTAATTCATTCTGTTACTTCATTTTTTTCTCTCCATATTGTATGCCTGAAGTGAGCTGATGAGCGGCAGAAAGATCATACAGTTAGGAATGAAAGACATCAGAATGTTCCACTAAATAGATATTTAACTAGATACTATTATACTACTAAGAATAGCAAGAATGTCTCCCAATTCTGGGAATTTCTCCTAGTTCACATAAATGAAAAGCACATCTCCATGAATGCTTTCTAATAAATGCTTCCAGGATAGTATCATAAACAAAGTCAAAATTAATGAAAAATCACCTCCATGGCATCCTGGTCATTCTCCATCAGCTCACCTTTCTTCTTATCAGAATCCACAACTGCTTTTTTGGTTGTCACAACAGTGACAACTTTTGTGACCGTTGGCCCAGACTTCTAAAATAAAGAAGAAATACAGAGTATTTTGCAAAGCTGAAACACAAGTTATATGACAGCCGAAGCCCACAATAACTGACAAAATTTCATCTTTAGTTTCTTTTTTTAGTGACATGGTCTCCATCACCCAGGCTTGAGTGGTGTGATCGTAGCTCACTGTAACCTCAAATTTCTGGGCTCAAGGAGTCATCCCATCTGTCCTTCTGAGTTGCTAGGACTATAAGCACATATCACCAAACCCAGTTAATTTTTTTTGCTTTTTGGTAGAAAGAGTCATGCTATGTTGCCCAGGCTGGTCTTGAACTGCTTGGCTCCAGTAATCTACCAGCCTCAGCCTACCAAATGTTCTGGGATTGCAGTTGTGAGCCAGGGCATTGAGCCAACTGAGTTATTAAATGAAAATAGAAACAACAGACTGTTTTTCTCATTAATTTGTATACATTTTTAAGCATAATATATTTTATAATACATCCACTTATCATTTACTGTATTATAGATAATTCTATATAATATCATTATATATACTTTATTTATTTACTGAGATAAAGTTTTGCTCTTGTCACCCAGGCTGGAGTGCAATGGCATGATTTCAGCTCACTGTAACCTCTGCCTCCCAGATTCAGGCAGTTTTCTCCCTCAGCCTCCCCAGTAGCTGGGATTACAGGCGCCCGCCACTATACTCAGCTAAGTTTTGTATTTTTAGTAGAAACAGGGTTTCACCATGTTGGCAGGCTGGTCTCGAACTCCTTATCTCAGGTAATCCACCCACCTAAGTCCCTGCAAAAGTGCTGGGATTACAGGCATGAGCCAGCGTGCCCAATTATATATATATATAAAATATATATATACATACAAACACACACACACACACACACACACACATATTTTTTTTTTTCAGACTGAGTCTCATTCTGTTTCCCAGGCTGGAGTACAGTGGTGTGATCTAGGCTAATTGCTCCCAGTTCAACCTATTCCCCTTCCTCAGCCTCCCAAGCAGCTGGGATTAGAAGCATCCGCCATCACACCCAGCTAATTCTTGTATTTTTAGCAGAGATGGTGTTTTGCCATGTTGGCCAGGTTGATCTCTTAACTCCTGACCTCAGGTGATCGTCCACCTCGGCCTCCCAAAATGTTGGGATTACAGGCATGAACCACCACATCCGGCATGATTATATATTTTCAAACTACTACTAGGCTGGGCACAGAGGCTCATGTCTGAAATTCCAGCACTTCGGGAGGCCAAGACAGGAGGATCACTTGAATCCAGGAGTTCGAGACCAACCTGGGTAACACAGCGAGATTCCACCTCTATAAACAATTAGCCAGGTGTAGTGGTACATGCCTGTAGTCCTAACTACTAAGAAGGTTGAAGCAGAATAATCGCTTCAGCCCAGGGGTATGAAGTATGATCATGCCACCGCAGCACTCCAGCCTGGGTAACACAGTGAGACCCTGTTGCTAAAAGACATTTTTTTAATTAAAAAATAAAATAAGCTTTGGGAGGCCGAGACGGGCGGATCACTAGGTCAGGAGATCAAGACCATCCTGGCTAACACGGTGAAACCCCGTCTCTACTAAAAAATACAAAAAACTAGCGGGGCGAGGTGGCGGGCGCCTGTAGTCCCAGCTAATGTAGTCCCAGCTACTCGGGAGGCTGAGGCAGGAGAATGGAGTAAACACGGGAGGCGGAGCTTGCAGTGAGCTGAGATCCAGCCACTGCACTCCAGCCTGGGCGACAGAGCGAGACTCCCTCTCAAAAATAACATAACATAACATAACAAAAGGCCAGGTGCAGAGGCTCACACTTGTAATCTCAGCACTTTGGGAGGCCAAGGCGGACAGATCACTTGAGGTCAAGAATTCAAGACCAGAATGGCCAACATGGTGAAACCGTCTCTACTAAAAATACAAAAATTAGCCAGGTATGGTGGTGGGCACTTGTAATTCCAGCTAATTGGGAGGCTGAGGTAGGAGAATCACTTGAACCTGGGAGGCACAGGGTGCAGTGAGCAGAGATAGTACCTACCACTGCACTCCAGCCTAGGCAACAGAGCAAGACTCCATCTCGAAAAACAAAACAAAACAAAACATAAATAAATAAAATAAAAAATAAAATAAAATAAAATAAAATAAAATAAAATAAAATAGGGTAGGTGCAGTAGCTAATGCCTGCAATCCCAGCACACTGGCAGGCCAAGGGAGGTGGCTCACCTGAGGTCAGGAGTTCAAGACCAGCCTGGCCAACATGGTGAAACCTCATCTCCACTAAAAATACAGAAATTAGCTGGGCGTGGTGGCAAGGGCCTGTAATTCCAGCTACTCAGGAAGCTGAGGCAGAAGAATCACTTGAACCCAGGAGGTGGAGGCTGCAGTGAGCTGAGACTGTGCCACTGCACTCCAGCCTAGGCAACAAAAGCGATACTCCATGTCAAAAAAATAAATTAAATTAATATAAAAAAATAAAATGAGGCTGGGCATGGTGGTTCACACCTGTAATCCCAGCACTTTGGGAGGCCAAGGTGGGAGGATAACCTGAGGTCGAGAGTTCGAGACCAGCCTCACCAACATGATGAAACCCGGTCTCCACTAAAAATACTAAAATTAGCCGGGCACAGTGGCAGGCATCTATAATCCCAGCTACTTGGGAGGTTGAGGCAGGAGAATCACTTGAACTCAAGAGGCGGAGGTTGCAGTGAGCCAAGATTGCGCCACTGCACTCCAGCTTGGGCAATAGAGCGAGACTCTGTCTCAGAAAAATAAATAAATAAATAAATAAATAAATAAATAAATAAATAATTTTTAAAAATGAAACAAAATACTACTAAATGGTATTTTCCAATCACTAGGCAAGCCAGGGGCTTGTACTGGGAGCCTAAATAAACCAGTAAATAAAACAGGTAAAAGTCACTGCCCTTAGAGTGCTTACATTTTAGAAGGGAGAAGGGACACACTGTAAACACAAAAAAATCATATAATTTGTCAAAATGTAATAAATGTTATGAAAAAGAGGAAAAACAGAATAAAGTGAAGGTCGTCAAGAGGTATCAAAAATGCAGCTGGGCATGGTGGCTCATGCCTGTAATCCCAGGATATTGGGAGGCCAAGGCAGGTGGATCACTTGAGGCCAGGAATTCGAGACCAGCCTAAGCAACATGGTAAAACCTCATCTCTACCAAAATACAAAAATTAGCCAGGAGTGGTGGTTCACACATGTAGTTGCAGCTACTTGGGAGGCTGAGGTAGGTAGACTGCACAGGCCTGGGAGGTGGAGGTTGCAGTGAGCCAAGATAACACCACTGCACTCCAGCCTGGGCAACAGAGAGAGACTGTTTCAAAAAAAAAAAGAGTATCAAAGACAGGAGTGCTAGAGAAGTCTCCAGAGAACTTATTAAAAAGGTTAATATGTAAGCAAAGATATTAAACAAAGGTGATGGTGTTAAAAGAGTGACTTTTGAAAGAACACTTAGAGCTAAAATTTGCCAGTATCTCTGGTACTTAGAAAAAGTACTGCCATCTCTCAGATGAGGAGAAAGAAAACTGTTAGCTTTATAAAATCATGCAAATCAGTAGGACAATGCAATGGAGAATTCAAGTTACCCAAAGGAAATAAAAATCTTTAAAAATAAGAAATTCCATACCTTTTCATTTCCCCCACCACCTTTTACACTTCTCATGTTAAATTTTTTTACTTCCTCTTTCACTTCTTCCATGTAAGCATCTAATGGATCTAACTCCTCACCCTCCATTTCATTTCCTTCCTTTTCAGCTTCTGCAGGATCATCTTCATCATCTAAAATACCAGAATACACTTTCTTTAAACATCTGTTTCAATACGCAATATTTCACAATCAGACCACACCCCACCTCTCTAACCTTTTCTCCCACTGCCCAAACACCCCTTTTCCAATTACTCCAGCAATCCAGCAGTTCAAATGCTCACTTTCGGAGGTTTTTCCATTTTTACATGAAGCATGTATTACTTTTGAATATTAACAATGACAAATAAATATGAATAAAATATAAATTGTTTGGTTGTAAAAGGGTCAAAAGATTAATTATGCCAAAAAAGATGATCTCCAATAATAGATTTTACAGCTATACAGCTGGATGCAGAACTACAAACTTTCTCTGCTAAATGACTTTTTTTCTTTGTTTCCTCTTTTTTTTTTTGAGATGGAGTCTCGCTCTGTCGCCCAGGCTAGAGTGCTGCAGTGGCACAATCTCTGCTCCCTGCAAGCTTCGCCTCCCAGGTTCACACCATTCTCTTGCCTCAGCCTCACAAGTACCTGCCACTACAGGCGCCCACCACACCTGGCTAATCTTTTGTATTTTTAGTAGAGACAGGGTTTCACCATGTTAGCGAGGATGGTCTCAAACTCCTGACCTCATTATCCGCCCGCCTCAGCCTCCCTAAGTGCTGGGATTACAGGCATGAGCCACCACGCCCAGCTTTCTTTCTTTTTCTTTTTTTTTTGAGACAGAGTCTCGCTCTGTGGCCCAGGCTGGAGTGCAGTCGCGATCTCAGCTTACTGCAATCTCTGCATCCTGGGTTCAAGCAATTCTCCTGCCTCAGCCTCCTGAGTAGCTAGGATTATAGGCGCACGCCACCACACCTGGCTGATTTTTGTAGTTAATAGAGACGAGGTTTCACCATGTTTGTCAGGCTGGTCTTGAACTCCTGACCTCGTGATCCACCCACCCCATCCTCCTAAAGTGCTACGAGTACAGGCATGAGCCATCATGTCTGCTAAATGACATTTTCAATTACAGTTGAGCCCTGAACAACATAGGTTTGAACTGCATGGGTCCACATGGAAGTAAATTTTCTTCTGCCTTTGCCACCCCAGAGAGAAGATCAACTCCTCCTCCTCTTCTTTCTTCTCAGCCTACTCAATGTGAAGACGACAAGAATGAAGACTTTTAAGATGACCCACTTCAACTTAATGGACAGTAAATATATTTTCTCTTTCTTGTAATTCTTTTTTTTTTTCGAGACAGAGTTTCGCTCTGTCGCCAGTCTGGAGTGCAGTGGCGTGATCTCGGCTCACTGACTACAACCTCCATCTCTCAGGTTCAAGCGATTCTCCTGCCTCAGCCTCCCAAGTAGCTGGGACTACAGATGTGTGCCAGCAGGTCCAGCTAATTTTTGTATTTTTAGTAGAGATGGAGTTTCACCATGTTGGCCAGGATGATCTTGATCTCTTGACCTTGTGAACTGCCCGCCTCAGCCTCCCAAAGTGCTGGGATTACAGGCATGCACCAGCATGCCCGGCCTATTAATTCTCTTAATAACATTCTTTTCTCCAGCTTACCATATTAAAAGAATATAGTATTTAATACATAAAGCATACAAAGTATGTGTTATTCAACTGTTCATGTTACTGGTGAACAGTAAGCAGGTAACGCTTAGTTTCTGGGAAGTAAAAAGTTATATATGGATATTTCACTGCGTAGGGGGGTTGGAGTGCTGAGCTACCAAGTTGTTCAAGGGTCAACTGTATTTCTTCTCTTTCAATACCTTTCAATCACAGAAGATGGCGTATCTTAGTTATGCAGAAAAGATTAGATTGTCTTGAATTAAGATATCATGACTACTTGGCGGGGCGTGATGGCTCACACTTGTAATCCCAGTGCTTTGGGAGGCAGATCACGAGGCCAGGAGTTCGAGACCAGCCTGGCCACCACAGTGAAACCCTATCTCTACTAAAAATAGGCCAACGTGGGCAGATCACAAGGTTGGGAGTTCAACACCAGCCTGGCCAATGTGGTGAAACCTCATCTCTACTAAAAATACAAAAAAGTTAGTTGGGCGTGGCGGTGTATACCTGTAATCCCAGCTACTGTGCAGGCTGAGGCAAAGAGTTTCTTGAACCCAGGAGGTGGAGGCTGCAGTGAGCCAAGATTGCGCCACTGCACTCAAGCGTGGGCAACAAAGCAAGACTCTGTCTCAAAAAAAAAAGAAACGACATCATAACTACTTATAGACAGAATCTATTTAAACCATTATTTGGAACTTTCACAGAAAATGAACCAAAATCCCGTTTTCCTATAAAATTATACAATCTTCTACTTTACTAAAATCTTAAAAGTCAAAATCAGATATGAAGGGAAATGTTTCCATCCTAAATTATGAAGTATCAGCAGCCAGGCACAGTGGCTCCCACCTGTAATCCCAGCAGTGAGAAAGGTCAAAGCAGCAGGCTCCCTTGACCCCACGAGTTCGAGACTAGCTGGGCAACATATCGAGACCCTGGCTCTTCAAAAAATGACAAAATTAACTGGGCATGGTGGCTCACACCTGTAGTCCCAGTACTTTGGGAGGCCAAAGTGGGAGGATCACCTGAGGTCAGGAGTTTAAAACCAGCCTGGCCAACATAGCAAAACCCCACCTGTACTAAAAATACAAAAATTCAAAAATTATCCAGGCATGGTGGCAGGTGCCTGTAATCCCGGCTACTTGAAAAGCTGAGGCTCAAGAGAATAGCTTGAACCTGGGAGGCACAGACTACAGTGCCACCTGGGTGACAGAGCGAGACTCAGTCAAAAAAGAAAAAAGAAAAAGACAAAATCAGCCAGGCATGGTGGCTACTCTGGAGGCTGAGGCAAAAAAATCACTTGAGCCCAGGAGGTCGAGGCTGCAGTGAACCATGACTGTGCCACTGCACTTCAGCCTAGGCAACAGAGTGAAACTCTACCTCCAAAAAAATAGAAAAATCAGAGGAGGGACTTGAAAGCATGCCCTTAATTTACTCTCCTTATTAACATTCACATTGCTAGTAATACATTAAAGAGCTATTTACTGGCTATGCTCATAAGCACTCAATGATTCACTCTAAAGTAAAATCAGTGATGCTTACTAAACACAATTTTATGTTTCAAATTACAACATAAATATTAAAAGGGGCTTTTACAATCTCAATTCCAATTCTGGGTATATACTTCACAGAACTCAATACAGAGACTCAAACAGATATTTATACACCAATGGCCACAGGAGCATTACTCACAATAATAAAAAGGTGGAAACAACCAAATTATCCAACAGCAGGTGAATGAACAAACAAAACTTGGCATATATATATACAGTGAAATATTATTCAGCCATATAAAGAAAGGAAATTCCGAGATGCTACAACATACATGCACCTTGAAAACATTATGCTAAGTGAAATAAGCCAGACACAAAAAGATAAGTATTTATCATGATTCCACTTATGTGAGGTAGCTAGATCAAACAAATTCAGACAGAGACAGAAAACAGAACAAAGGTTGTAAGAAGTAGCGCAAAAAGGCACCATAGAGTTATTTAAAAGGTGCGGAGTTTCTGCATGGAATGACCAAAAAGTCATGGAAACAGACAGTGGTAATGACTGCACAACACTACAAATGTATTTATCACCAAACTGAAACTTGAAAATGATGAAAATGGTAAACAGGGCCAGGCGCGCTGGCTCACACCTGTAATCCCAGCACTTTGGGAGGCCAAGGCAGGCGGATCACGAGGTCAGGAGACTGAGACCATCCTGGCTAACACGGGGAAACCCCATCTCTACTAAAAATACAAAAAATTAGCTGGGCGTGGTGGCGGGCGCCTGTAGTCCCAGCTACTTGGAAGGCTGAGGCAGGAGAATGGCGTGAACCTGGGAGGCAGAGCTTGCAGTGAGCCAAGATTGCGCCACTGCACTCCAGCCTGTGCAATAGAGCGAGACTCGGTCTCAAAAAAAAGAAGAAAATGGTAAATAGTGTATTATGCATAGTTTTCAACAATAAAAAAGATTAAAAATCCCTTACGAAATATTATTCATATAATATTCTACATGAGTTTTTATACAGGCTATCAGGCTAAAAAAATATACCATCATCGTCCTCTAAACTCCATTTTTTCCCTTGTTTCATCTCTTCGATTTCCTTTTTCAGTTCTCCTATGTTTTCCATAGCCTTTTTACGTTGCTCTTCTCGCCATTTTTCTACTCTTTCTTTTCGCTTTCTCATTTCTTCTTCCAGCTTATTCTGGTCAAAGTTCTTGGGGAATAAAATAAAGAAAGAGATGGAGGAAAATAAAAAGAAAAATCAAATTTAATAACTTTGCTCCAAGTGACATTCCAGTAAGTTCTTCAAAGTATAAAGAAGGGGTAAAAAGGCATATATACAAACTCCTCAGGGTAGACTTAAATCACACACCTTTATAAATATACGCACAAATATATTACCAAAATGAAATCACAAAAAAAGCATCTTCAAATAAGAAAGCCAAAAGATATATTTCAAACACCATAAATTAATCTAATTTTACTTGCATTATGCACACATAAATTTTATTTCTTCCTAACAATAGAAACTAAAGCAATTAGCAAGAAAAGTTTCCCAGTTATTGTCAATTTTAGTCCCCTAAACTCCTCCAAAACTGCCTCTATGAAAAGCAATTTTCTATTACAAGCTAGAAAGTAAATGACATCAACATGATAAAGAAATTTTGTGACTAGGCACATGGTACATGCCTGTGGTCCCAGCTACTTGGGAAGCTGAGGCTAGAGGATCCCTTGAGCACAGGAGGTTGAGATCAGCCTCGGCAACAAAGGGAGACTGTGTTATTAAGAAAATAAACGTTTAGGCCGAGCGTAGTGGCTCAAGCCTGTAATCCTAGCACTTTGGGAGGCCAAGACGGGCGGATCACGAAGTCAGGAGATCGAGACCATCCTGGCTAACACAGTGAAACCCTGTTTCTACTAAAAAAAATACAAAAAACTAGCAGGGCGAGGTGGCGGGCACCTGTAGTCCCAGCTACACGGGAGGCTGAGGCAGGAGAATGGCATAAACCCGGGAGGCGGAGCTTGCAGTGAGCTGAGATCTGGCCACTGCACTCCAGCCTGAGCAACAGAGCGAGACTCCGTCTCAAAAAAAGTAAATAAATAAAATAAAATAAAAGTTTATGGCCAGGCACGGTGGCTTACACCTGTAATCCCAGCACTGCGGAAGCTGGGGTGGGTGGATCCCTTGAGGTCAGGAAGTAAAGACCAGCCTTGCCAACATGGTGAAACCCTGTCTCTACTAAAAACACAAAATTAGCTGGGCATGGTTCCCCATTCATGTAGTCCCAGCTACTCAGGAGGCTGAAGCAGAATTGCTTCAACTCAGGAGGCGGAGGTTGCAGCGAGCTGAGATCACGCCATTGTACTCCAGCCTCGGCAACAAGAGCATAACTCCGTCTCAAAAAAAATGAATAGGCCAGGCTCATGCTTGTAATCCCAGCACTTTGGGAGGCAGAGGTGGGCAGATTGCCTGAAGGCAGGAGTTTGAGACCAGTCTGGCCAACATGGGGAAATCCCATCTCTACAAAAAATACAAAAAAAATAGCTGGGCATGGTGGCATGCGCCTATAATTCCAGCTACTCGGGAGGCTGAGGCAGGGGAACTGCTTGAACAAAGGAGGCAGAGGTTGCAGTGAGCCGAGATCACACCACTGCACTCTAGCCTGGGTGACAGAGCAAGACTCCATCTCAAAAAAATAACAAATAAATAAATAAATAAAACCAAAATCGGCAAAAGATACGAATACACCATTCAAATAAAAGTGAAAATGGTTAATAAACTTGAGAAAATGGCCAGATGCGGTGGCTCGCACCTGTAATCTCAGCACTTTGGGAGGCCGAGGCAGGTGGAACACCAGAGGTTGGGAGTTTGAGACCAGCCTGACCAACATGGAGAAACCCCGTCTCTACTAAAAATACAAAATTAGCCAGGCATGGTGGCACATGCCTATAATTCCAGCTACTCGGGAGGCTAAGGCAGAAGAATAGCTTGAACCCAGGAGGTAGAGGCTGCGGTGAGCCTAGATCACGCCATTGTACTCCAGTCTGGGAAACAAGAGCAAAACTCTGTCTCAAAAAAAAAAAAAAAAAAAAAAAAAAAATTAAATACATTCTTATTAAATTATAAATACATATTATATTCACAGCATTTAAATATTCACTCATTTAAGATATGCAGCTGAATATAAAGAATACCAATCACTTCCTAACAGATTGGAAAAATTAAACTTTGAAATTCCCATGGGCGCAAGGATGTACAGAAACAAATGTATTCACGTCTAAATTCTTTTTTTTGGTTTTTTGGTTCTGGGTTTTTTTTTTTGAGACAGTCTCACTGTCACCCAGGCTGGAGTGCAGTGGCATGAACTCGGCTCACTGAAATCTCTGCCTCCCAGGTTCAAGCTCCCGAGAAACTGGGATTACAGGCACATGCCACCACGCCTGGCTAATTTTGTATTTTTAGTAGCAACAGAGTCTCACTGTGTTGGCAGGCTGGTCTTGAACTCCTGACCTCAAGTGATCCGCCTGCCTCGGCCTCCCAAATCCCTGGGATTACAGGCATAAGCCACAGCACCTGGCCTCATGTCTAAATTCCGAAGTCTAAATTTTTTTTTCAGACAGTCTCACTGTCACCAGGCTGGAGTGCACTGGCTGGATCTTGGCTAATTGCAATCCCCAAGTCCTGGGTTCAAGACATTCTCCTGCCGCAGCCTCCCAAGTAGCTGGGATTACAGGCACGCGCATCCACAACCAGCTAATCTTTGTATTTTTAGTAGAGACAAGGTTTCACCACGGTGGCCAAGATGGTCTCAATCTCTTGACCTCGTGATCTACCCACCTTGGCCTCCCAAAGTGCTGGGATTACAGGTATGAGCCACCACGCCCGGCCTTCAAGCTTTTTTTGAGACAGAGTTTCGCTCTTGTTGCCCAGGCTGGACTGCAGTAGTGTGATTCTGACTCATGCAACCTCTACCTCCCAGGTTCAAGTGATTCTCCTGCCTCAGTCTCCCAAGTAGCAGGGATTACAGGCACGTGCCACCACGTCTGGCTAATTTTTATATTTTTAGTAATGATGGGGTTTTACCATGTTGGTCAGGCTGGTCTAGAACTCCTCACCTCAGGTGATCCACCTGCCTTGGCCTCCCAAAGTGGTGAGATTACAGGCATGAGCCACCGTGCCCAGCCTTAAGTCTAAATTTACACAAATTTTTTGGAAGGCAACTGATAATGTTCATATGGTAAGACCACATTTTTATGTAAAAAGAGATAATGTGTATAGATGTGCAACTTTTTTCAGAAAATTTTCCCACAGGGTAAATATTATTTAATCTTCCTTTTTATCTTTCACAACTGGTTATTTTAAAATAAAGCTTACAGCATTAAAAAGAAAAAATTTGTCGTCATAGAAACAAGTTTGTTTTTGTTTTTGAGACGGAGTCTTGCTCTGTCGCCCAGGCTGTAGTGGCCCAATCTCAGCTCACTGCAAGCTCCGCCTCCCGGGTTCACGCCATTCTCCTGCCTCAGCCACCCAAGTAGCTAGGACTACAGGCGCCTGCTACCACGTCTGGCTAATTTTTTTTTTGTATTTTTAGTAAAGACAGGATTTCACCGTTAGCCAGGATGGTTTTGCTCTTCTGACCTCATGATCCGCCCACCTTGCCCTCCCAAAATGCTGGGATTACAGGCATGAGCCACTGCACCCAGCCCATAGAAACAAGTTTGATGCATGCCTGTAGTCCCAACTACTTGGGAGGCTGAGGCAGGAGAATCGCTTGAACTCAGGAGGCGGAGGTTGCAGTGAGCCGAGAATGTGCCACTGCAGCACTCCAGCCTGGGCAACACAGCGAGACTCTTACCTCAAAAAAAAGAGAAAGAAACAAGTATGATATACAATTATTTTTAAATTAATAAACATACGCCAGCATCTTTTTCTTTTTCATCCTCCTTGTCATCTTTGTCTTTTTTCTTCTCTTTAGAGCTTTCCCCACCATCAGTTTTCTCTTTGGACCTAGATCTACCAAAAAAATAAAAGAGACAAGAGAAATATCATTCATTTGTGCTTAGAAACATTCATTATTAAATACTTTTTTTTTTTTTTTTGAAACAGTGTCTCATTCCGTCACCTGGAAAGGAGTGCAATGGCGTGATCTCGGCTCACTCGGACTCAAGCGATTCTCCTGTCACAGACTCTCAAACAGCTGAGATTACAGGTGCAAGCCACCACACTCACAATTTTTGTATTTTTTTTTTTTTTTTGAGACAGAGTCTTGCTCAGTCGCCCAGGCTGGAGTGCGGTGGCGTGATCTCGGCTCACTGCAAGCTCCGCCTCCTGGCTTCACGCCATTCTCCTGCCTCAGCCTCCCGAGTAGCTGGGACTACAGGCGCCCGCCACTATGCCGGGCTAGTTTTTTTGTATTTTTAGTAGAGACGGGGTTTCACCGTGTTAGCCACGATGGTCTCGATCTCCTGACCTCGTGATCCGCCCGTCTCGGCCTCCCAAAGTGATGGGATTACAGGCGTGAGTCACTGCGCCCGGCCTTGTATTTCTAGTAGAGACAGGTTTTTTTGTATTTCTAGTAGAGACAGGTTTTCACCATGTTGGCCAGGCTGGTCTTGAACTTCTAACCTCAGGTGATCTGCCCGCCTCAGCCTCTAGTATTAGAGGAATATTATAATATTAATATTCCTCATGCCTGGGATTATAGACATGAGCCACCTTGCCTGGCCTTAAAATACTTTTACAGGTGGGGTGAGGTAGCTCACACTTACATTCCCAATGCTTTGGGAGGCCAAGGCAGGAGGATCAATTGAAAACAGGAGTTAAAGAGATCAGCCAGGGCAACATAACAAGATCCAATCTTTCCAAAAAATTCTAAGAATTAGCTCGGTATGGTGGTGTGCACCTGCAGCCCTACCTACTGAGGAGGCAGAGACAAGACAATCACTTGAGTCCAGTAGTTCGAGGCTGCAGTTAGTTATGATCCCATCACTGCACTCCAGCTTGGGTGACAAAGTGAGACCCTGTCTCTTCAAAAAAAAAAAAAAAAAGACGTAGGTCAGACATAGTGGCTCATGCCTGTAATCTCAGCATTTTGGGAGGCCAAGGCAGGAAGATCATTTGAGCCCAGGAGTTCGAGACCAGCCAGGATAATATAGTGAGATGTCATCTCTATTAAATTAAAACAAAAAAATACATAAGTACACTTACTACATTTGTATTCCACTATTTAGGTAAGAAATAAACTTCTAAGAGTCAACTGTGTTTTCATATTCCATTAATAAACACCTGGAGGCCAGGCACAGTGGCTCACGCCCGTAATCCCAGCACTTTGAGAGGCCGAGGCAGACAGATCACAAGGTCAGGAGATTGAAACCATCCTGGTCAACATGGTGAAACCCCATCTCGGCAGGGCGCGGTGGCTCACGCTTGTAATCCCAGCCCTTTGGGAGGTCCAGGCAGGTGGATCACATGAGGTCAGGAGTTCTACACCAGTCTGACCAACATGGTGAAACCCTGTCTCTACTAAAAATACAAAAATTAGCCAGGCTTGGTGACAGGAGCCTGTAATTCCAGCTATTCGGGGGTGGGAGGCCAAGGCAGGAGAATTGCTTGAACCCGGAAGGCGGAGGTTGCAGTGAGCTGAGATCTGGCCACTGCACTCCAGTCTGGGCGACAGAGCGAGACTCTGTCTCAAAAAAAAAAAAAATACAAAAAAATTAGCTGGGCGTTGTGGTGGGCGCCTGTAGTCCCAGCTACTCAGGAGGCTGAAGCAGAAGAATGGCATGAACCCAGGAGGTGGCATTTGCAGTGAGCCGAGATCGCACCACTGCACTCCAGCCTGGGCGACAGAGCAAGACTCTGTTTCAAAAAAAAAAAAAACTTGAAAATATAATGGGCCGGGCACGGTGGCTCACGCCTGTAATCCCAGCACTTTGGGAGGCCAAGGTGGGCAGACCACGAGGTCAGGCTATCGAAACCATCCTGGCTAACATGGTGAAGCCCCGTCTCTGCTAAAAATACAAAAAATTAGCCAGGCGTGGTGGTGGGCGCCTGTAGTCCCAGCTACTCGGGAGGCGGAGGCAGGAAAATGGCGTGAACCCGGAAGGCGGAGCTTGCAGTGAGCCGAGATCTGCCACTGCACTCCAGCCTGGGGCGATGAGCAAGACTCCATCTCAAAAAAAAAAAGAAAGAAAATATAATGAAAAAAATTAATTCCATGATTAATCCCATGACACAAATGGGAAACATTACTAAATACTTGAACATACTATATACAAACAACAAAATTTAGGTAGGATAGTTAAAATGTGATAAATGAAGAAACAGACCTATATTCTGCAAGATAATTTATATGTAATAACATTTAAAATCCCAAGGCACACGCATTTTGAATGTTCTAATGTTCTAATGATTTTTGGGGGCTTGAGACGGAGTCTCTCTCTGTCGGCCAGCCTGGAGTGCAGTGGCACAATCTCAGCTCACTGAAATCTCTGCCTCCCGGTTTCAAGCGATTCTCCTGCCTCAGCCTCCTGAGTAGCTGGGATCACAGGTGTGCGCCACCACACCTGGCTAATTTTTTATTTTTAGTAAAGACGAGGTTTCACCATGTTGGTCAGGCTGGTCTCAAACTCCTGACCTTGTGATCCACCCACCTTGGCCTCTCAAAGTGCTGGGATTACAGGCGTGAGCCACTTCACCTGGCCTTCTAATGATTTTCTAATGTTAAAATAACCTGCCATTCTTGGAATAAACCCAACTTGTTTATGCACCCCAACTTACGGCATCTCATAACGAATAAAATTTCTTAATTTTAATGTAATCAAATTAGTCCATCTTTTTTCTCCTTTATAACTGGTGCTTTTTAAAGTAGTTTAGAAATCCTTCCAGATTTGATGTAAGATACCTAGAGGTGAAGAAGATACTCTCTAGTACAAACTTTTAAAAGGTTTAGAATTTTGCCATCTAATTTGGTCTTTGCTTGGAATTGCTTTTTGTTCACAGAATACGGTAGGCAGTCTTATTTCATAAAAGGATACTAGATATCCCTAGAAAAATTTTTTAAATTTTCTGGCCAGGCTTGGTGGCTCATGCCTGTAATCCTAGCACTTTGGAAGGCCGAGGCGGGTGGATCATAAGGTCAGGAGATCGAGACCATTCTGGCTAACACAGTGAAACCCCATCTCTACTAAAAAATAAAAAAAATTAGCCGGGCATGTTGGCACACGCCTGTAAGTCCCAGCTACTCAGGAGGCTGAGGCAGGAGAATTGCTTGAACCCGCGAGGCGGAGGTTGCAGTGAGCCGAGATTGCACCATTACATTCCAGCCTGGGCAACAGAATGAGACTTTGTCTCAAAAAAAAAAAAAAAAAAAAAAAAAAAAAAAAAAAGTCTCCACTTATTACAGCACCACCTCTGTCACCTAATCAAATTACCATGTGTATGGATGTGTTTCTGGGCTCTTTACATGGTTCACTAATCTGTTTGTCCACTGCTACACAAATTGCACATTGTCTTAATTTCTGTAATTTTTTGGGTTTTTTTTTTTTTTTGAGAAGGAGTTTCACTCTTGTTGCCCAGGCTGGAGTGCAATGGCACGATCCTGGCTCACTGCAACCTCCGCCTCCTGGTTTCAAGCTATTCTCCTGCCTTAGTCTCCTGAGTAGCTGAGATTACAGGCATATCACTACGCCCAGCTAATTTTGTATTTTTAGTAGACATGGGGTTTCTCCACATTGGTCAGGCTGGTCACGAACTCCCGACCTCAGGTGATCCGCCCACCTCGGCCTCCCAAAGTGCTGGGATTACAGGCGTGAGCCACTGCACCCAGCCTAATTTCTGTAACTTTTAAGACAAGCCTTGGTTGGGCGCGGTGGCTCACGCCTGTAATCCCAGCACTTTGGGAGGCCGAGGTGGGCGGATCACTTGAGGTCAGGAGTTCCAGATCAGTTCGGCAAACATGCCAAAATCCTATCTCCACTAAAAATACAAAAATTAGCTTGGCATGGTGGCGGGAACCTGCAATCCCAGCTACTTGGGAGGCTGAGGCAGGAAAATTGCTTGAACCCCACAGGCAGAGCTTGCAGTGAACTGAGATTGTGCCTCTGCACTCCAGCCTGGGCGACAGAGTGAGACTGTCTCCAAAAAGAAAAAAGTATTCAACTCCTACTTCATTATTAATCACGGAAATGCAAACTGAAACAATAACAATATTATTATTACACATCTGTCCAGTTGGCAAAAATTTAAAGGATTGACAATTCCAAATACTGAAAAGGGCATGGGATAACAGCATTCTCACCCACTGATAGTACAAGTATCATTAGTACAAACTCTTTGAAAATCAATTTGAGATTAACTACTAAAAATAAAGCTATGTTTATTCTACAACCAAGCACTTTCACTTCTAGAAATGCACACTAGCAAAAAGTTATGTGCGTATATACCAAGAGATACACACACAAAAGCTAATAGCCCAAAGGTTAAAGCAAACATCCATTTTCAGCAGAATGGATAAATTATGGAATATTTATACCACAGAATACTACTCAGCAACGAAAATGAACTACTGCTGTAACATGTGAATCTCAAACAATGTTGAGCAAAGACACATATGAACACATGACTCCATTCATGTAAAGATAAAAAGAAAACATAAATCTAAATTTTTTTTCCAGATGCAAACGCAGTTGTAAAACTATAAGGAAATGAAGAAAATTACTAACACAAAAGTCAGCAGTGGTTTCACCTAGCAGGTAGAGAGTTAGGTTAGAGAAGATAAATGGAGGACTTATGGGATACTGACAATGGTTTATTTCTTGACTTTGATGGTGGGCATATGATATTTGTTTTATAATTACTTAATAAACTACATGTTTTTTTGGTTTTTTTTTTCTGAGACGGAGTCTCGCTCTGTTGCCCAGAGGTGGAATGCAATGGTGCCATCATCTCAGCTCACTGCAACCTCCGCCTCCTGGTTCAAGCATTTCTCCCACCTCAGTCTCCCAAGTAGCTGGGATTACAGGCATGTGCCACCATGCCCAGCTGATTTTTGTATTTTTAGTAGAGATGGGGTTTTACCATGTTGGCCAGGCTGGTCTCGACCTCCTGATCTCGTGATCTGCCTGCCTTGACCTCCCCAAGTGCTGGGATTACAGACATAAGCCACCGTGCCCAATCTTAATAAACTATATGTTTATATTTTGCTCACTTTTTCTGAATTTATATTTTGTTTTTAACTGAAATAGAACTTCCAGAATGGGCAGAGTGGCTCACACCTATAATCCCAGGACTTTTGGAGGCCTAGGTGAGAGGATCGCTTGAGTCTACAAGTTTGAGGTTAGTGAGCTATGTTCTTGCCACTTCACTCCAGCCTGGGCAACAGAGTGAGACCTTGTCTGAAAAGAAAACGACAGAGTTTCTACAAAGATGTCTGTAAAATACATTTCCGATCAATAGTATGTATTAAGAAAGAATACAATGTATTGACTGTTAAAACTGACAGAATCTAGTATTTTCCAGCTGAATTACAAACATTATAACCGATTAAAATAAAACACTGCCAACAGTTCATGGTAGAAGCCAAATACAGTTAATTCTCTACAAAAATAAATTTAAAGGAAAAAAAAGGCGCAGAGAAGGGAAGCAGTCCCCAATCTGCATTATAGATGCAGCCCAATGATAACATTACCTATTCTCAATTTTCTTGCTTTTATTGCCAGGACTGGAGGATCGGGATCGCCGGCCCCGGCTTCTACTCCTTGAGCGTCTCCGGTCTCTACTTCGAGATCTTCTTCGCTCTCGGCTTCTGTCTCTCTCTCTGCTTCTGGAACGTCTGAAAGGGGAACACTTTTCATTTATTCTATGACCAAATGGAGTTACTATTTCAGATCAGGATTCTGTCCCACATTGAAAGAATCTTAATTACTACCATTATTAAAGGCAGAGATCTCAATGAAGTAAAGCCAGGTCTTACAAGTGCTCAATGAAAGAAATGAGAATACTAATTTTTTTTTTTTTTTTTTAGACAATGTCTCAGTTCTGTCACCCAGGCTGGAGTGCAGTGGTACAATTGCAGCTCACTGCAACCTCTGCCTTCCAGGTTCAAGTGATTCTCCTGCCTCAGTCTCCCCAGTAGCTGGGATTACAGATCTGCACCACCATGCCAGGCTAATTTTTTTTTTTTTTTTTGGAGACAGAGTTTCACTCTTGTTGCCCAGGCTGGAGTGCAATGGCACGATCTCGGCTCGCCACAACCTCTGTCTCCTGGGTTAAAGCAATTCTCCTGCCTCAGCCTCCTGAGTAGCTGGGATTACAGGCATGCGCCACCATGTCCAGCCAATTTTGTATTTTTAGAGATGGGCTTTCTCTATGTTGGTCAGGCTGGTCTCGAACTCCCAACCTCAGGTGATCTGCCTGCCTCAGCCTCCCCAAGTGCTGGGATTACAGGCATGAGCCACCATTCCAGGCCAGAGAATACTAATTTCATAAAGATGTTTGTGAAAAACACATAATAAATCTGTAATTAACATCGATTTAAAATTGATGGTCTAAGATAGAATACCTAGTTTCAGATAGCCTAAACCTAAGTATAAGGATGGGGATAATGGGGCTACTAAAAGATCACTGATCTGAAGATGAAGAGGCAAGAATTTCTATCCTGCTACTCTTGGTAACTAATGACATGATACAGGTCAGATCTCCAACTTTCTGGGTCTCAGTTTCATCATCTATAAAATATGGAGACTTCACTTGACATCTTTGAAATCCTTCTTGCTCTAAAATCTTATGATTCTACTTTCACACCAAAAAGTCAAAGACCAAATGTTAAATAACCATTTTCACTTAAGTACTTGAATTAATTGTGTGAAATTGTCCTAGGACCACAAAATGTGAAAATGAATTAGTTAGCACTACCCACATTGTCACGTGAGAATTTTTTCCTTGAATCCTATGTAATACCAATGTACTCCAATGTCTGAAAAGGATGAAGTTAAATTCTTTCTGTGATCCACTCACAACACAACCTTGTCTTCCTTTCCTATTTTAATGAGAAACTGGGCAAGGTATGGTATCTCATACCTGTAGGCCCAACCTTTTGGGAGGCCACTAGCAACACAGTTAAGACCCCCATCTCTATGAAAAGCTGTTTTTAATTGGCTGGGTGTGGTGTGTACAGAAGATTACTTTCTATTTTTCTGTTACGAGATGGAGTCCTGATCTGTCGCCCAGGCTGGAGTACGGTGGCACCATCTCGGCTCACTGCAACCTCCACTTCCCAGGTTCAAGCAAGTATCCTGCCTCAGCCTCCCGAGCGGCTGGGAATACAGGCATGCACCAACATGCCGGCTAATTTTTTTTTTTTTTTGAGACAGAATTTTGCTTTTGTTGCCCAGGTTAGAGTGCAATGAATGGCATGATCTCTGCTCACCGCAACTCCACCCCCACGGGGTTCAAGTGATTCTCCTGCCTCAGCCTCCCCAAGTAGCTGGGATTACAGGCATGCACCACCACACCTGGCTAACTCTTTTTTTTTTTTTTCCAGTAGAGACGGGGTTTCACCATGTTGGCCAGGCTGGTCTCAAACTCCTGACCTTGTGATTCACCCACCTCAGCCTCCCAAAGGGCTGGGATTACAGACGTAAGCCACCATGCTTGGCCAACTTTGCCACTATTAAAAATACAAAAATTATCTGGGCATCATGGAGCATGCCTATAATCCCAGCTACTCAAGAGGCTGAGGCACGAGAATCACTTGAACCGCGGAGGCAGAGGTTGCAGTGAGCCAAGATCGCGCCACTGCACTCCAGACTGGGTGACAAAGTGAGACTCTGTCTCAAAATAAATAAATAAATAAATAAATAAATAAATAAATAAATAAAGATTAAGGTGCTCTTTAGTTTAAATCTATGACAGCTCATTAAAATAGTTTAAGAGGCTTGGAGAGAGTCTGCTTTGTTTCCTTTTTCTGTCTGCTTTAGAGGCTGCTCTAAACACACTGTTCAGCAAATGGAAGAAGAGAAAGAGAGAGAGAGGGAGAAAGGAGGGAGGGAGAGGAAGGGAAGGAGATAGGGCGAGAGGGACGGAGGAAGGGAGGGAGGGAAGAAGGGAGAGAGGAAGGAAATTTTACAAATTTCAACAAGGGTGGCCAAAAAAAAAAAAAAAAAAAAAGGAAAGCAAAATTAACACCTTGGTCAGCTCTCCTGGAGCAGAACTGAAATAGAACCCCCTTGCATATAACTCAGTACTTTACTTTTTACTTCATTTTGTACATCCCTCGGAGGGCTTCAAGGGATATCTTCGGGTAACAGGAAATACAGCCTAAAGTCTCCAAACTAAAAATACTGTTTGATGGCTGGACGCGGTGGCTCACACATGTCATCTCAGCACTTTGGGAGGCCAAGGTGGGAGGATCACATGAGGCCAGGAGATCAAGAGCATCCTGGCCAACATGGCAAAACACCGTCTCTTCTAAAAACACAAAAATTAGCCAGTCGTAGTGGTACACATCGGTAATCCCAGCTACTTGGGAGGCTTAGGCATGAGAATCACTGGAACCCGGGAAGTAGAGGTTGCAGTGAGCTGAGATCATACCACTGCACTCCAGTCTGGGCAACAGAGTGAGACTCTGTCTCAAAAAAGATGTAAAAAATAATAAAATAAAACACTGTTTGATAGAGTCTTTGTAGGCACAGCCCTCTGGGTCTAATCAAGCAAGTTGGGGATAAAGAAAAGGGTGTTGAAAACACACTTTTGAAGAAGCCTGCTATAGCTGAGACGGCCCAATTTATCACTAGTCCTTCGGAAATTAATTAATGTCTTACCTCAGACGCTTCCTGTCCCTTGACCGAGATCTTCTTTTATCCCTGCTACGAGACCTCTCTCTCCTCCTATCTCTATCTCTGCTTCTAGATCGCCTGTCATCTCCACGTTTACTTCTTTTGTCTGAGGGTGAGCGACTTCTAGACCGACTTCCAGAGCGACCCCGTGATGCCGATCGTTTTCGATAGTGGCTAGAACAGTAAATCAAAGATTAAGTTCAGCAAACACCGTTAGCTTCTATTATATTTCATTACATTTTTTCTAAAAATAATTTCAGCAGACAAATTTAACACTCACAGAACCTTTTATGAATTTTTCTAAAATTATGAGGGAAAAAAATGAACCCTTCTGCTTCAGCACAGGCACATGTAGAGATGGAAAATCTGTCTTGAAAGAGAGGCAAGGACAGTGAACAAAACAAACCAAGCTCCTGCCTTTGAGCTTCAGGCAGCTTACATTCTGGTAAAGGAAAAGACAGCAGACAAGTGAAGAAACAAACACTGTATAAAATAGGTTTATATATAATATGACATTTGTTACAGAGGCTTGGAGGAAATAAAGGAGCCATGTACATACACAGGGAATTTTCCATGCAAAAGGAACAAATGCAAAGTCCCTAAAGAGGAAGCTTGACTGGTGCGTTCAAGGAACAGCAAGGATGCCAGTTGCGGCTAGTGTTAAAAGAGTAACAGAGTGTGCCATAAGATGAGGTCAGAAAAACAGCAGGCAAGCCAAACCTGGAAGGCCTTACTGGCCATTATAGAAGGACTCTGTCTCTTACACCAAGATGAAAATCTACTGGAAGACTTTAAGCAGAGGAGTGACACAACCTTGTTAATGTTTTTATTTTTATTTTTATTTTTTTATTTTTTTGAGACGGAGTCTCGCTCTGTCGTCGTCTGGAGTGCAGTGGCCGGATCTCAGCTCACTGCAAGCTCCACCTCCCGGGTTTACGCCATTCTCCTGCCTCAGCCTCCCGAGTAGCTGGGACTACAGGCACCCGCCACCTCGCCCGGCTAGTTTTTTGTATTTTTTAGTAGAGACGGGGTTTCACTGTGTTAGCCAGGATGGTCTCGATCTCCTGACCTCATGATCCGCCTGTCTCGGCCTCCCAAAGTGCTGGGATTACAGGCGTGAGCCACCACACCCGGCCTTATTTTTACTTTTAGAAACAGGCCCCACTCTGTTACCCAGGATGGAGTGAAGTGGTATGATTACAGCTCACTGCAACTTCAACCCTCCAGGGCTCAAGCAATCCTCCCACTTCAGCCTCCCAAGAAGGTGGAACTACAGGCAGGCGTCACCACACTCAGCTAATTATTTTGATTTTTTATTTTATTTTATTTTTTTAAAATAAAAAACTCTGATGCCCAGGCTGGAATGCAATGGCACTATCTCAGTTCACTGCAACCTCTGCCTCCCGGGTTCAAACGATCCTCCTGCCTCAGCCTCCCAAGCCGCTGGGATTACAGGCCTACACCACCACACCGGCCAATTTTGTATTTTTAGTAGAGGAGGCAGTTTCACCACGTTGGTCAGGCTGGTCTGGAACTCCTGACCTCAAGTGATCCCCCCGCCTCAGCCTCCCAAAGTGCTGGGATTAGAGGCCATGAGCCACTGCATGCATCCTTTTTATTTTTATTTTATTTATTTATTTTCATTTTTATTTTATTTATTTCATTCCAGCCTGGGTGACAGACAAGGTCTCACTCTGTCACCCAGGCTGGAATGCAGCAGCTCGATTGCCACTCACTATAACTTCGATCTCCTGGGCCCTAGCAATCCTTCCACCTCAACCTCCAGAGTAGCTGAGACTAAAGGCACACACCACCACACCCACTTTTTTTTTTTTGTGGTAGAGACGGTGTCTCACCATGTTGTTCAGGATTGTCTTAATCTCCTGGCCTCAAGCATCCTCCCACCTCAGCCTCCCAAGTAGCTGGCACCAAAAGCATAAAAGTGTGTGCCACTATGCCCACCTATTTTTTTTTTTTTTTTTTGCAGAGATGGAGTCTTGCTATGCTGCTCAGGATGGTCTAAACTCCTGGGCTCAAGCAATCCTCCCACTTAATGTAATCCCAAAATGCTGGGATTACAGGCATGAGCCACTGCACCTGGCCTAATGTTTTTAGTCTTTTTCTGGCTGCTGAGAGAAGAACAAACCGAACAAAGGGAGGCAAGGACAAAAGGAGAATAGGTAGGATTAGCAAACACCAGCACTACAGCAATCATCCAGGCACGAAATAGTGGTGGCACAGATCAAAATGGAAGGTGGAAAGATTTTGAGAAGTATCAAAATCTGGATATCTTGAAGCTAGCACTGATGGGATTTAATGATGAATTAAATGTCAAGTGCAACAGCAAAAGAGAAATCACTCAGTTGCCATTTACTAAGATGGGAAGGCTGAGGGAGAAATAGATCCAGGGAGAAGGTGGATCAGAATATTAGGTATCCAAGTGGAGATATATAGTATGTAGTTGAAATATTAGCCTGGAGTTCAAGGAAGAGGTTTCTCTAGAAATATAAACTGGACAGTCATCAGTATACAAAGGCTATTTATTTAAAGCTATATAAATAAGATCACTAGGAGATGAGTGCACCTAATTATCTTTCAAGCACCTCAAGTTCAACTTGTAGAAACCCAAACTTGTTACGCTTCCCTCCCCAAACCATTAATCATACCAACTTCCGGTCACTAGGCTCAAAACATTAGTTGTAAATATTTTTCTCTTGCTCTCATTCGATACAATAAATAAAACACCAAATGGCTGAGCACAGCAGCTCATGCCTGTAATCCCAGCACTTTGGGAGGCCGAGGTGGGCAGAGAGCTCGAGCTCAGGAGTTGAGACCAGCCTGGGCAACATGGTGAAACTCTGTCTCTACAAAAAAATACAAAAATTAGCAGAGTGTGGTGGCACGCGCTTGTAGTTCCAGCTACTCGGGAGGCTGAGGTAGGAGGATCTCTTGAACCTAGGAAGCATAGGTTGCAGTGAGCCAAGATTGTTTCAATGCACTCCAGCTTGGGCGACAGAGCAAGTCCCTGTCTCAAAAACAAAAAAAAAACACCAAGTAATACCAATTTCACCTCTGTAATTCCCTTCACATTATATCACCTCCACAGAGTTCCAACTATCACTATTCTATATCAGACTTATCTACCTAGGAGATTCTTAAAGACTGTGGTCTTTCTGTTTCTATTCCCTTTTCCATCAAATCTTACTCATTGCTGCTAAGGAGAATTCTGATTCTGTTACACCCTTTTTACTCAAAATCTTCAAAGGTTCACAAACAAATTGCTATCTTCAAAATCTACAATCCACCCACCTTCTGGACCCAAGTCCTATTCAGGACCCACCTCCTACTTCTCAAAAAAGATTAAAACCCTCCATGAAACCTACATATGTAGAAAAATTGGGCTTTTTAGCTATTTCTCTAACACCCTGAGCCTTCCCACCTCTGGGCCTTTCATGATTCCCTGAACAAACCTAGAGCACAGGCCATGCACAGCAGAGAGGTAAAGGAGAAGGCTGAAGGGCTAGAATGCATCTTCTTGTGAAGGGCCTTGAAGGCAGTCACAGAGTTTAAATTTCAGCTTGGAAGCAGTAGGAACCAATGGAGACTAAGTCAGGGGCATGACATGTTCTTATCTCTACTTCAGAAGTGTCACTCTGGCTGTAGTGTGAGGGATCTAATAATTAGGAGAGCAATAAAGGAAGACAATCAATTCAGAGAATAATCAATTTAAAACAGGTGTAGTAGTCTGGACAATAAACAATTAGGGCCTCAATTAAGTCAGGGACAGCCAGAATGGGGAAAGGATGTAGTACCTAACAGGCTGTGGGTAGTGAGAGAGAAAAAATGAGTCAAATAAATATCACTTCCAGATTTCTGGGCTGGCCAGCCTTCAAGAGATTTAAAACACCGTTACAGGAATTTTCTGTAGTTAAAGAAATATTCTTTATCTTCATCCAGGTGATGATTACACGGTTTACATACTTCCTAAATTTCATCAAGTTTTACCCTTACGTTTTGTCCATTTCCCTGACTGTTAATTTTACCTCAACAAAGAACTGTTAGCATTAAAAACAAAAGCCTTCACTGTTCCTAGACATAAAATATCTCTCAGTCATTGCTAAATACATAGCAAATAGTCATTTTTAACATAAAATTCTCAAGGTTCCTAACAATCTATCAACAATCTAAAGTTGTGATGAGATCTCATAGTTCTAATAAGAGCTCACAGTCCATAACTTCAAAGGACAGAAAAGCAGGTAACAAAGAAATACGAAATCTATTTGCGAAGTAAATGCCCACGCAACAAGTATTTATCGTAGCCCAGTAAAAGCCTAGTCGTGTACAGTGCTGTCGATGCGGTAAAAATGTCTGCCCACAAGCTACTTTCATGTAACTTGGGAAAAGACCATAAGCGCACAAAGAACTAAAATACAGAATGATGGGAGTCGAGGAAACGTTGGAAATGCGACGTAATAAGCAATCCAACTGGGATCACTTCTAACTGAAGTAATCAGGGCAGGCTCCCTTGAAGTGGCGGGATGTGGTGCCCAGTCACTAACGTCCTGGAGGGTTGTTCCCGCTCCAGGGGTTCGAACCTTCTGATAGTAGTCCAGGAGAAGCCGTCGCTGGCCCAAGCACAACCATTCCCTCAGCCGAGGTCCCCCAGGCCTTCCAATGCCCGCGGGGCAGCGCTGGCCGCACGTGGGGCCGCGCCAGGCCTGGCCGGGCGGCCACCTCAACTCCCGCCTCTTCTCACGACCCCAAGAAGCCGTTCGCCCGCTAGCCCGCTCGGTGCTCTGCCTCACCGTGACTCCCGACCCATGCTGCCGACCGCGGGAATGCTGGTGCCCTTGAGTACCACGCGCAGGCGAACGGGACAAACAAGGAGACTGCGCTGCCCTCAGCGCCCGGCAAAGATCCGCGCTAAGCACTAGCTACGGCTACACCGGCGGCGGCCATCCCAGCGCGGCCAACGAAAACAGGACGTGCTGGCGCCGGCAGCCGAAGGAAGAGAAAAGCCGACCGGAAGCTGCCGCTCTTCCACAGCGCCCCCGCTCGACTGGAGGGCGCACAGCGCCGGCCTCCTCGAAAGACGATGGCTTGGCCCCGACGTCCGGGCCCCAGCGCCCGGCTGATTAGTGCGATGGAGCGTAGCTACTCAGCCTTGCCGGCCCGGGAGGATATTTCGCGCCAGAGCCAAAGAGGCGTCGTTGGGGAGGCTGATGTCTGCCTTAATTTGCGCTACATAATGCGGCAACTTTCTGCATACACGCTCTTTATTCATGTATACATTCTCTCATTTATGTGTTGTCATATGCCAGGCTTCTGCTAGATCCTGGGTAGCTCAGTCTAGCGGGGGAAATAGAGATGACTAAGCCAGCGCAGTGGCTCACGCCTGAAATCCCAGCACTTTGGGAGGCTGAGGCGGGAGGATAGCTTGAGCCCAGGAGTTCAAGACCTGGGCAACGTAGCCCCCGTCTCTGCAAAGAAAATAATAATAATGATAGACTTAACTAAAAACACAAGCTGATGTAATACGGCAAGGAGAGTCCACCATTGGAGAGGGATTCAGAAAAAACGTTTCCTGGGGAAGTGAACTTCGAGGTGAGATTTGAAGACCGAGTAGGTGTTAACCTAGCAGAGAACAAAGAGCTAAAAATACTTTGGTAAAAGATTAGTTCTCAACATTCTCTCTCTGGGAAGCTTAAAATAAAATAAAAAACACAAAAAGGGGCCACGCATGGTGGCTCATGCCTATAGTCCCAGCTCCTTGGGAGGCCGAGGCAGGAGGATGGCTTGAGCCCAGGAGTTCAAGACCAACCTGTGCAACTTAGTGAGACCCTCTACAGAAAATAAGCAAAATAATTAGCCAGGTGTGCTGGCATGCCTGTGGTTCTAGCTACTTGGGAGGCTGAGGTGGGAGGATCATTTGAGCTGGGGAGGCTGAAGCAAGATTACTGGAGCCCAGGAGTTTGAGGCTGCAGTGAGCTATGATCACTCCAACCTGGATAGCAGAGAGAAATCTCATCTCTAAAATATTAATAAATAAAATAGAAGCCTGGGTTCCACCCCTATGTTCTGATTTAATTGGCCTGGAGTGCTTCTTGTGCATTAGGAATTTTTAAGCTTCCCAGGTAATTCTGAAGTACAGTCAAGATTGAGAACATTATTCAAGAGTTTGGGCACCAAAAACTGTATATGTATTGTGAATGACTAGTCTCATGGAACACACACAGAAATGTTGAGTTGTTTTTGTGGGAAGCTATAATGGAGTTGGAGAAAGGCTCACATTTTTACTTTACTTGCCTCTGTACTATTTTACTTTCTTACACCTAAAGATGATGGAAACGTTCTGTTATCTTGATTTTGGTGGTCATTGAATAGATTTGCACATTTTTTAAAAATTCACTGAACTGTACCCTTTAACTGTACATGACTTATTGTATGTAAATTTTACCTCAACATAGTTGATTTAAAAAAAAAAAAAAAAGCAAACCAACGAGTGACACTCCAAGATGAGTTTATGCTCCCCCTGTCCCCCCTCCACCATGGCTTGCTGCCCACCTGTGGTAGCTGTGAGAAACATTGAAGAGGGATAGAGACGGAGGGTCTGGCAGTCCATGCCAAAGGTAAGAAGGCCTGAGCTAATTAATGAGTGACAGGATGGACACCAAGGAGGGTTAGGAATCCCCTTGTAAATCATTTGGATGTGGGCTGCAGGTAGGGAATGTGAATTTCAGCCTAAAAGACATAGGAAACCACCAGTGACTTAAACAGTGGAGACTGAGAAATGACCAGATTCTGGGTGTATTCTGGAAGCAGCTCTCAAAGCGCCAATAGATAAACTGGATGTGAGCTATGACGGAAAGGAAGGAATAAAAGATGACTGCCAGGTTTTCAAAAGAGCTATTGTGGACTGTGGTGAATTTGTGGAGATGAGAAACGTATGAGAGCAACAGATTTGGTGGAGGAAATAGAAAGTCATTGATTTTGTTTCAGTCATGTGATATTTGAGGTACCTACTAGATGTCCAGGAAATAACAGCTACAAATAGAGGTGGGAGAGATATGGGTCCTCAACATTTTATAGAATATATGTGTAATACACAGTATTTGAAGCCATGGAACTGCATGAGGCCATGCAGAAGTGAATGGAAATAAGTCCTTAATTTCTGAAATTAACACAATTTGAATATTGTTTAGAATCACAGGATTAGGGCCGGGCGCAGTGGCTCATGACTGTTATCCTAGCACTTTGGGAGGCTGAGGCGGGTGGATCACGTGAAGGCAGGAGTTCAAGACCAGCCTGGCCAACATGGTGAAATCCTGTCTCTACTAAAAATACAAAAATTAGCTGAGTGTGGTGGTGCGTGCTAATCCCAGCTACTTGGGAGGCTGAGACACGAGAATCACTTGAACCCGGGAGACAGAGGTTGCATTGAGCCAACAGAGTGAGACTGGGTCTCAAAAAATAATAATAAAAAGAATCACAGGATTAATGTTACAGATTTTTAAAATCACAAACTCAAACTTCCTGATTTTAAGTAACAAAACTGAGACTCAGGAAACATATTTAGTCCTAGATCACTAGCCTTGTTGGAATCTAACCTAGAACTAGAGTCCAGAGATCTGACATTTAGGCCAGAGCTCTCTTCAAGATACTTTATTTCCAACTCCCCTTTAAAAGGACACATTAACATGACAATTCTAACTGGCTTAAATATTTCTTATATACATATAATATATATTATAACTATATAAAATATATATTGGTTGTACTTATGTATTTGTATGTGCTATGTACAGTTAAATATTTATAGTACTATATAATATTCATGTTGGCTAGCAGTAATATATTATATATATATATATATTTTTTTGAGACAGGGCCTTGTTCTGTTGCCCAGGCTGGAGTGCAGTAGTGTGATCTCGGTTCACTGCAACCTCCTCCCAGGTTCAAGTAATTCTTGTGCCTCAGCCTCCCAAGTAGCTAGTAGCTGGGACTACAGGCACACACCTCCCTGCTAGCTAACTTCTGTGTTTTTCACAGAGAGGGTTTTGCCATGTTCCCAGGCTGGTCTCAAACTCCTGGACCCCTGGACTCAAGCAATCTGTCTCCCTTGGCCTCCCAAAGTGCTGGGATTACAGGTGTGCACCACCCCCACTCCACCACAATATATTTAAATTCACATCAAGTCTGTACTGGAGGAAGGTTTTTTTTTTCCTTTTTTTTGAGACGGAGTTTCACTCTTGTTGCCCAGGCTGGAGTGCAATGGCATGACCTTGGCTCACTGCAACCTCCGCCTCCCCGGTTCAAGTGATTCTCCTGCCTCAGCCTCCCAAGTAGCTGGGATTACAGGCATGTGCCACCACGCCCAGCTAATTTTGTTTTTATCAGAGACGGGGTTTCCTCATGTTGGTCAGGCTGGTCACGAACTCCCAACCTCAAGTGATCTGCCCGCCTCGGACTCCCAAAATGCTGGGATTACAGGCATGAGCCACCACGCCTGGCTGGAAGGTTTTATCTATCAGACAGGTGAAAGAAATGACTATAGTCTGTGTTCCAATACATCACTTTTAGTAAACTAACCTGTCTTCCAAAGCAGCAGATTTTGACTGTGACTTGACTTACTAACCCAGTATTGAATATCTTATAACCTTCTTGCTGTTTTTAGTGCCAACTGTGATGACACATATCCATTTACACAACTAATTGAACTAAAAAAACTACTAGGTAACATAGTCTAGTTGTCACCTCTAAACAACTATCCTTGTCACTCTAGTTTTAATCCATATACCCTTTTTTTTTTTTTTCTCTTGAGACAGAGTCTCACTCTGTTGCCCAGGCTGGAGTGCAGTGGCACGATCTCAGTTCACTGCAACCTCTGCCTCTCGGGTTGAAGTGATTCTCATGCCTCAGCCTCTCAAGTAGCTAGGATTACAGACACGCCCGCCACCACTCCTGGCTAATTTTTTGTATTTTTTTTTTTCAGTAGAGACAGGGTTTCACCATGTTGGCCAGGCTGGTCTCAAACTCCTGACCTCAAGTGATCCACCCGCCTCCGCCTCCCAAAGTGTTGGCATTACAGGCATGAGTCATGGTGCCCGACCAATCCATATACATTTGAAAACCCAGAAATTTCTAAATAAAAAACGTTTTAAACTATTCCAAACACTAAGAAACTTCAATTCCCAAGCCAGGCACAGTAATCCCAGCCTCAAATGTAATAGTAGTAATCTCGTTTGTAATCCCAGCACTACGGGAGGCCAAGGTGGGTTTGATCACATGAGGCCAGGAGTTCGAGACCAGCCTGGCCAACATGGTGAAACCTGTCTCTACTAAAAATACAAAAAATTAGCCAGGTGTGGAGGCATACATCTGTAATCCCAGCTACTTGGGAAGCTGAGGCATGAGAATCGCTTGAACCAGCAAGGGGGGCTGACAGAGGTTGCAGTAAACCAAGATCAACGTCACTGCACTCCAGCCTGGGCAAGAGTGGGATTCTGTTCTGGAAAAAAAAAAATTATCCAGGGGTGGTGGCACATGCCTGTGGTCCCAGCTATTTGTGAGGCTGAGGTGGGAAGATTGCTTGGGCCTGGGAGGGCGAGGCTGCAGTGAGCCCTGATCACACCACTGCACTCCAACAGGGGCAACATAGTGAGACCTTGTCTCAAATAAAAGAAACTGGGCACAGTGGCTCAAGCCTGTAATCCCAGCACTTTGGGAGGCCGAGACGGGCGGATCACGAGGTCAGGAGATCGAGACCATCCTAGCTAACCCGATGAAACCCCGTCTCTACTAAAAAATACAAAAAAAACTAGCCGGGAGAGGTGGTGGGCGCTTGTAGTCCCAGTTACTCGGGAGGTTGAGGCAGGAGAATGGCGTAAACCCGGGAGGTGGAGCTTGCAGTGAGCTGAGATCCGGCCGCTGCACTCCAGCCTGGGTGACAGAGCGAGACTCCGCCTCAAAAAAAAAAAAGATTAAAAAAAACCAAAAAACAAAAAACTAAACTTTCAGGTGGG